TATAAAGCGTGAATCACAGCCGTGAAAATATGGCTGATATATATCAGACGGTATAATACCATTGTGTGTCGATATAAGAGAGAAAAGGTATTCGCATTGTCAGACGTGGCCAATAAATGGCAGGGCTTTGTCACCCGGTGCTGTGCCAAACTCGCGAAAAAGTTTTACGCGCGACAGGTGTTTCGTGACGTGTATTTCCACGCGAGCCATTTTACATAAAATGGTTTTCTTATCTTGATGCATGGTTATTTTGCATAAACGAAGAAAACTTATGCAAGGATTCTAAGCGATGCGCGGAAACACATCAACCGAGAAATCCGTACATATTTACAAAGCTGTTAATTCAAATTATAGCGTCAAAGGATTCCGTAAAATCACTCACTTCCGCGTCTATTCTGAATAATTAAAACTTGGAGATTTGAGCAGTAGAAGATCGAGCAACGAGTTTGAAATGCACCGTTTAAAGCAAACATAAATCTCTCATTATTTCAACGGCATTACTTTCAGCAAACGAGATGTTGGACAGTTTATGATTCCTAATTAAAGTGTACCGCTTAAATGAATCAAGTGTATTGCATATTGCACGAAGTCTACCTAACGTACACTTTGCACAATTTTCCATCAGGTGCTCGAACTAATTAAAACGAAGCGAAGCAACGTCGAAAAGATAAACTCCGGCGGGCTCTTACGGAACGATACACATAAAAACGCCATTTTGCCACAAAGTTATGTTCCTTCGCGATGTCGCGAAACGAAGAAGGAAGAAAAATACAGTGCATTATATACATCGCCGAGCACCAAACTTCACGAATAAGTGGAGCATGGATAAAAGCAAAGTTAGTAAGTGTATAATTAACAACTCCGTTAAGAGAGTTCAAACTCGAGAGTATTCAAAAGTGGAAGTAGCAAGGATATGGGAACATCAGCAGGCCAAGAGAGCGTGAGACATAAGCCCTTTTACAAGAATGAATTTAAATTCAAGCGATAAAACGCGCGCGATCAAACAAATGGCGTAAACTACCGATAATTAATGGTTGAAAGTGTTATGTACATTTAGAATTATAATTTTTAATAATTTCCATGTTAAAATTTTTAGATACCTAATTAATATCGAAATGGGTTTATGCAAAGCTTTCTATTTTACAAAAATATATAGAATGTAGCTAAAATTATTTTATATATAGTGAAATGTACTTAATTTCTATTGAAAATATGTAGATATACTTTTTCATATAAAATGAACATTTCTAGTGTAATAGCGTAATATGCGAGAAACAAATGGGCGGTTTCAATTATCGCTGAATAAATGTAATGTGGATAAAGTTTTGCGTGCAAGAAACACGAAAGGACGGAACCGAGCGAAAACGTAATTACCGCGTCGATAATATATATGCGCACAAGAACGGTATTTAAATTATTCACCGATTTAAGCGCGACAAGCAAAGCCGTTTGGATACGATCGGATTTTCAGATTACCAGACCGACTAAAGTTATATCCGCGTTTTCTCTATTAACAGAGGATAATAGCCGGCGCGCATTTTCGATATGTTTTCTAAACATTCGCGTAGCGGATCTGGATAATTGTAAACTCATGCCGCCTCCAAATTCATGTTGCAGTTTCGGATGTGAGCGTATAGGCTCAACGAATGAATAGATTTACGCAGCACCGCGCAAACACGCCGCAAATTGAAGAAAAACAGATCGATAGTAATCCAGTGTTAAATTTTGTACCCTTTTAACATGTTATGATAATATTACCTTAGGTGTACGTGCGTTTTGTGCCAAACAGTGCGAGCACTAACATAAGTGATATCCGACAGGTCCTCTTTAATCCAAAAGCGTCACAAAACCGCCGAGTGAATTTCCATACGTAGTTTCGATGGCGAGCGTAGTCCTTGACACATTTTATACACATATACAATGTACTATATATGAAGGGGTAAAAGTCATAGTGGTGTAAGTCAAATTTTTTTAAATTTTTTTTCGCGTGCATAGATGCAATCTATACAATATATAAATCCAACAGCAGATAGTGTGACTTTATTATACATACGCGTCACTGTACAATTTGCCTTTTGCCAATGTTAATTTATCTTTATCGTTATATATCTGTTTAGGATGGCAACCCTAACTGGTCCGCGCTTGCGGACCAGCAGAAAACAAAGGGGAAGGGGGGTAAGTCACAAAGTATGTTGGCATGTTAGTACTGGCGAATTTCGCAGCAGCAAGCGCATCACCACGAATTCGTCAAAGCGCTTCAACATCTATTGTTTATCCGCGCGTCCGACCGCGTGCGGCTTTTCTATCTTTCTGCGAAAACGACTGACATTGCGACGTTCTCTTTTCGAGAGAATACGACGTTCCGGGTCGAGAGTCGACCGGATTTCTCCTGTTATTTATTCGATGAGAGTTGGAGACGTTTCACCGAGTTTCGTGGTAATCCTAGCTGTATCGTGCCACGAAGATTCGGGAGGGCAGAATGAGGGTGGAACGAGGGTTAAAGTGCGGGAAAGGGACTCAGACCAACGAACGCTACGATACGGTGGTAACCGTACGATAAACATAATATATTTCCGACCGTGAGAGATACATACTGGAGAAATATGCTTACTGCGCGAAAACATACGAATTGTATAACATCGCCTCTTATGAAGGGGAAACGAATTTTTCCATTTGCAGTTCCATCCAGTAAAATTTCTCTCTTAAAAATCAACGTATCTTCTTTCATGTATGTAATGTAAAATAAAAACATATGTATCAAAAATTAAAATTTATAACTTATAAGTACATATCCACAAACGCAGTATGCATATAAATAATTTAATTTAATAAAAATTTTAATAAGAGAATTTTAATAAACCGGAATAAAAAAAAACTGTAATTTACAAAATACCAGTACTTTTGTTAGCTAGAAAACCGAAACCGTAACCAAACCGATATTTTCGTCCGGTCTGGGTCCCTGATTTGTAGATTGTAACCCCGAAGGGAACAATAAATTCATATCTATCTAGTAATTGGCTGTTATAAAAACGTAACGAACGTTAAAAACCTAACGATTAACTTAACGAGATTCTTTCTTGTAAAATGTTGGATTTAGAAGATTCCACAAATGATCGTACGATGCTAGGTAACCAGGCAACCACGCTTCTCTTTTAATCCGGTCTGAAAACGTGCGAAAGTGAAGGCGTGAAGGTAGAGCGGACGAATAGAGCGCGGATGGCAAGGTTTAAAGTAAATGCCGAAAGTGCGAGGTCGCGCTGGTAACGTGGAAACGCTCATACTAGATGGAAAAAGGCATTACTCGGGAGCGGGAAAGTATGCGGTTGGCGGGTGAGGACGCGTTGCTTTATTAAATATGGACGCTCACGACCCGTGCAGGTTACCCTGGGCTCTTCGCACGTGTGCGTCCGCCCGCCCGTATACATATATGTGCGTGTTCATGTACGCGAGGAAGAGTAGCGAGGGTGAAACGTGACGGAACGTATCCTTCCTTCCTTCCGAATCCCGTAATTCGCACGGTGGAGAAATTTGTACGTTGCCTCCCACGGTTTTATCGTGTTTCTTACACGGCCACTCATCTCCGTAAGTGCTCGACGATGGTGGCTCGAGGGATGACGGGGACGAGGACGTCCGGAACGGGTCGATGATAAAGCTACCGTCTCTCTTGCTCCTCCCATGCCGTCCCTTCGATTCTTGCCGAAGCCCGCGATAGTTTCGAAAGAACCGCTTTCCGAGTAACCGCTCGAGTAACTACAGCAAAATCACTTTACAACGTGAACTCTCCGTCGAACCTTAAAATTAAATTTGTCATACCTGATTTTCGTTATATCGAATTTTCTGACTATATTGTTACGGACGGTGACCGGGAATTCAATTGAATCTCGTAACAAGAAGAATTTTACCCTCCCGAATTTTAGTCCCCCGTTTCTCAAGCTTCCGATACGCTCGTGTACATGTAGCACGCGAGTATTGGTTCTTGACGAAGAAAACCGTTGTATCGTTAGGCGGACGTTTCGAGATCTTTTTGTATTCCTTCATTACGCGAATTGCCTTCGGGCATTCCAAGAACGCAGGATGCTCATTCTTTTGCGAATCTATTCTAAACAATCGTTCAAGAATTCGAAAGCGGAGCGCACGGAACGCGCGTGCTGATTGCACGATGCGATCACGGCTTGCGAGCTGGGAAATGGAGCGCTGTAAATTGTGTGTGAACAGCAATTCAGGTCTAAAATGCCGGAAATGCAGTCGATTTATTTGTGAAAAATACGTGCACATCGCTGCAGTCTAACCTGCTTGCTTGCTAACACTATATCTGGGCAAAAATATTTTTTGTTAAAATATAACGTTAATACAACGGTGTACAACAATTTTAATTAAATTAATTTCCTTGATTATGTATAATTGTGTACTTGGCGTTCAATAAAATTCAATAAAATAAGAGAAACTAAAATTTGCAATTAAGTCTTTACAAAGATCCACAAAACTTTACTGTACCGTAAACAGAAGCCATGATGAACTTCTCAAGTTTGATAGTGTGTGTAAGTCGAAATTAACTTTTGTTCCTTACACTTGAAGTAAAAGTATCCCGAGGGGTCTACCGCACTTCAAAAAGTGCAAAATGTACACCTATTGCCGAAAACAGCAATAAATTCCACATTTCTCGCCTTTAAATCATTTAATTCCCAGCTTTGCTCTTCCGTTATAAAGATCATGTCCAATGTCAGCGTGAGAGGGAAAAAAAAGAATCAGATAGCCACATTTCACGTCAAATGCGCGACGAGAATGCGAATATTCGTAACTGTAAATCCATTTTGCCACCTCTCTCCCGAGGGACGCGATACCCGCGTCGTGGCACGATCGATCAGAATTAAAATTCGCGTCCAGTCGCCTTTCTCGACTATCGCCCTAATGCTTCTCGCCCTCCGAGTAATTGGCGTTCTCTAATGTCCTGTCGAGGTCACTTATGTAAGTAACGCGTGACCCCATTTCTGTCGTTCCAGAGATGTGAGGAATGATCACGTGGATGATGGTCGGGCTGCTTCTGGCTGCGGAAACTTGCGGCAGAAACGTCCTCTCCGGAAACGGAAACGGAAACGGAAAGGAGGAGACGAAGCGGCGGGAGGATCTGAAGAACGTCAGCGCGGACGAGGAAGACATCTATCGTGGGTATCGGCGCTGGACCGTCGAAAAATGAACAGAATCGTTCACTAGAAAATAGATAGAAAGCTAGTACAAAGAGAATAGTACGAGAAGGAAAGAGAGAGACAGAAGTCAAACGAAATCCATGATTTACTCGGCCAACTCGAGTTTATCCCAACTCGCCGATCCTGCAATCGAACGCCACTAATCTCCGAACTACCGCTTATCCTTTCTACCAACTCTCTCTTCGCACATGTATCGCAACCTTTCCTGTCAATGACACCTCCCTACTCATCGTGTACAACGCGTATTCGCCATCACGAAAGCTCTTCCTCTCGCTACAGTAAAATCATCGCCGTAACTTCACATTAACGAATTTAGCTTCTGCCATAAGACGCATTGTTCCAGAATACCATTCCAGCAAAGTCATCGCAAAGTCCTTTTCTGGCAGAGTCGACTGTTTAAACTTAGTGGTTTGGCTTGTTGTTAACTTTTGAACGTTTAGATCTAGAATAAACTCGTTTAATTCTTGACTGTATGTTTCCTTTAATTTTCTTTCTCCCCAAATAGAATTTCCGTATCTCTACGGCAGAACAGTACAATTAAAAGTTAACGCTCGCGTCTTCGCCCCGTCCCATCTCGATTGTCCCAGTAACTTACTCAGCTCAACGCTCTTTCTGTTGCAGGTCTAACGTGCTACACTTGCGTCAACGTCAGCGATAACCAGGTATCGACGACTCCATTAAACGTCCCCTTAAGAGTCCCGTAATGACTCTATCGTGCCTGGTCCAACCGCAATTTTGTAGAACTCTGTAGATCGTTCCGCTATCGATTTCGGTTTATTCTAAACTACCCTTATTGCATTTTGCTTCATTCCTTTTACAGTAACAGTCTTATCTCCAATTCCCTTTAGTTTTTGGTCTTTTTGTTTACAGAAATGTGCAGCAGTTTACCGTATCATCCATTAATTTGCAAATTTTCGCAGAATATCTTTGTATTTATTCTTTACATTTATGGAATGTCACGAAAATAAAATTCTCGTACTTTGTGTTTTTTCTTCAGATTTCTCATATATCAAGAAATATGTGATCGATATTGGCAATATAAAGATTTTTATATAAAGCTCTCTCATAGTGAATGCTGCTATTTCTATTCTTGCAGATGTGCAACGAATGGGCGATAGACACACCGTGTCCGGTGGGCGGCCGTGATTTTTGTCGATCGCTGCACATTCTGGACAGTCGGGGGAACAGTGTCTTGGTAAGTAATATCTTTTTTCATTTATTCCGCTTATAAAACTTTATCCCTTTCTAGGAGAGGGATAAAGTGCATAAATTTTGAGTATATTATCGAGTAGTTTACATATATTATACATATACAGTAGGAATAAAAAATAAGTAGTCAGTACTAAAATGTTATAAATTAAAAATTTATTTAATGAAGTAACACTATGATAGTAATGTAACGCATATATTTGAAAAATAAAATAAAAGATAAATAATATACTTTATACTAACAAAAAAAATTGCATTTTATCTTAGTGCGGTTTGATTATATAATTTGATCACTTTTCATAAATAAGTAGTCATGTGACGAAACATTAGTTGATTTTATGCCACAGCGTTTAGAGGTTGTGATAAAAGCAAAGGGAGGTCCAACACACTACTAACTATAAATTATTTGTTGTATAATTTTTGAAAGTTGTTTCGTCACATGACCACTTATTTATGAAAAGTGATCAAATTATATAATCAAACTGCAATAAGATACAATGCAATTTTTTTTGTTAATATGAAGTACATTATTTATCTATTTTATGTTATTTTTGAAACATATGCGTTACATTACTACCATTGTGTTACTTTATTAAATGAATTTTTAATTCATAACATTTTAGTACTGATTACTTATTTTTTATTCCTATTGTATGTATAAATATAAAAAATATCTATATTTTCATATATATATTATTCTTATCAAGAACTAAGGGGTAAATACCTCTCGCCCTTAACTCGACGTATATTATGCTTAAGGTAGTTCTCCGGTCCTTGTACTAGAGAAAATCGATTTTCTATAGATTTTCTTGAAACTGTGAATATACGTTAATTTAGATGTGCTTTATGCGTGGTATAAACTTCAGTACCTCTTGCGGTATAAAAATCGAGATACTGAGCCTCCAAAGTTTCAATTTTTACCAAAATTTAGTAAAAGTTGAAACTTTGAGGCTCAGTATCTTGATTTTTTATACGGCAAGAGGTACTGAAGTTTATACCACGCATAAAGCACACCTAAATTAACGTATATTCACAGATTCAAAAAAATCTATAGAAAATCGATTTTCTCTAGTACAAGGACCGGAGAACTACCTTAAACTGAATATCGCAGAAACTATCAAATACATGAAAATTGTTTTATATAAAATTATATGTTAAAAGATTTTTTATGTATAGCATATTTTTTAATACTTATTGTTAGAATTGTTTGTAAATTCCATTGCACCATACAAAAAAATTGTTTAATACATATTTTTTAATGTATATAATGTATAAAACATTTTGCTATTCACAATATACCTTGCAATTAGTGAATATCGGAAAGTGTCAGTTGCGAATGCTGTCTTGTCAGAGAGACAATCGTACTTTCGAAACAAAACGAGATCGTAAAAAAAACATTAGGGGAAAAAACACGAAGAGACAATAACAAATCGACTCTCGCTATCGAAGTAAATTTCATTATCGCCCACCCATAGTACACGCACGGTCAAATAAAATCAATTAAAGGTTATCGTATGTGGCTAATTGACTTACATTAGGGGGATAATCGATTTTCTGGCTATTAATGAATGAAGTTACGAGAACGGATTCGAGCCTGGACGTCGAGATGGATAGCCCTCTCGAGCTTAAGCGCTTCTCCAGTCCAGTCGATGTACCAGCGGATGAACTTTGATGGAACTTTCCACGCTCCGACGCTTGACGACGATAATGCGCGATAATCTAATATCGCGCATTACCGACGACAAAACTAACTATCTAGTTAATAAGTTATTTCCAACTTTCCAATTAAAAATTAATATTATGAGAGCACTAACAATATAAATAAAAAACTTTTATGTTGTTAACTACTTCAAAAATTTGTGCGTTATATTTTTCACGATGCAGACTGGGTTGGTCACTGCTTCCGATCGCAAAGTCGAAAAATTTCAATATCTTAAGAATCTTTGTCGTCACGTTCATTCACGCGTTATCTCCGCTTCCTTCCGTTCCAGGTAAGCAAGAGTTGCGCCAGCAGCGAGGAATGCGGGCCAGCGTCGGTCGGTTGCATTCCCGTGGACACGCAGCAGGTGCGAAATAGCGAATTTTGTCGTGTACCCGGAGGGAGGTTTCTCGAACAATTCAAACGAGGCAAAATACAAAAAACCAAAGAAACAAAAAAACGCAAAACAATAGAAACATAAGAGAAATACCGACGAAACCGGGTGAAATAAATTCGGTTATTTCGTTTCAGATTTGCATAAGTTGCTGCGACCTGAGCTACTGCAATATCGAGTCGCCCACCAATGCCACCAATGCGATCTATTCTCGCAAACGACGCGCCAAGTCGAAATCGAAGCGCAAGCTTCGGCCCGGCAGAAACGGGGTCGATGCGGCGACGCAACTCTACGGATCCAGCTTGCTCTGGCTTCCCGCCTCGCTCTTCTATGCATATCATTGCTAAGAAAGCAGTAACACTAATTGCGCATACGAAGCGGACAGCGCGGAAATCGCACGCGGATCGCACGCCGCGGTATCGTCGCGCCAAACAGCGTGATTCGCCGATTTCTCTTGATCGAACGTTCTTTTCTGTGATCTTTTTTTCTTCTGTAGTATCATACTCGCCTAAATAATCGACGCCGCCGTCTAATTCCGACCAAGCTTTCTGATGAACTTTCGCGGAATCACGGGAAAACTATTCTATGCACTGAAAAGAAAAAAAATTTAGATCCAAGAAAATATTTATTTAGATGCTGCCAATAACTTATTTACTTAATATATTTAATAAACATATTTATTTAGATGTTGCCAATAACTTATTTACTTAATATAATACATATTTATTTACTTAATTTAAGTAAAAATATCTAATTCTAAATAAATATGTATTATATTAAGTAAATAAGTTATTAGCAACATCTAAATAAATATTTTCTTAGATCTAATTTTTTTTCCAGTGTGTTCTCCGATTTTTCACGCTCGCCGGGCTAACCTCGGTGACGATTATCGTCCAATTATTTGGGAAGAAAACGCTATTCTTCTATTTTTCGTACTCTCGTTTGACATCTTTGTCACCATTATCTTTAATAGAAATCGCAAATTTTTGACATACGTCGTATACGTCGATTAAACTTGTGCTACGAGCACGTCAGAGAAACGAGATGTTCGTTTCGGGAATAAAGCGTCCGTAAGGAATTGTTTGGGAGTAGTTCCAGAAGGGATTCAGAGGAACGAGATCCGTAGAAAGAGCGGTCGAAAAACTTGGCGCCTTTCCGCGCTGTCCAAAAACGTTATTAATTGGGGACTCCGAACTAATCGGGTCCCTCGTGATGGCAAAAGGAATTGTTTTCTCGTCGTAGTATCGGTAGTTGCTATGCCTCGAAATAGAAGGAACTTAAGGTACAAAGAGTATGCGAAAGAAACTTAAAGAAAATCGATAGATCCGAATTCGTTTCCGGCAAGACGACAATGTAGACACTATGCAATAAAGTCGACTACTAATCACACGAACATGTATTTGATCACGACGATCTATATCCTCCTTACTTATAAAAAACGCTCTTTCACAAAATCAAAAACTAAATAAACTATATAATTAAAAGTAATTAATTTAGAGAGTATAATAATAAAATATAAATGGTATATCAAGATATGAATATTCACCGAACGTAGCTCTGCCGCAACAACTCCCACCATCAGCTGTTCCATCAGTGTTAATTTCTGTTTGAACCGTTTTAGCCTCAAGTCCATCAAGTCACATGGATATGAGTGGAAATCGCATTTAATTGAAATCGCGCAGCACTGACGAACCCTTTCGTATCGGCGTATCATCTTCGATATGTTCGAGGTTGGTGAACTGTAATAATATCCTGTATATTAGTAATTATTCGGAGACTATACATATCTGTTTGAATAAAACCAACAAAATTATCTCTTTACTTTTACACATAATTTTCTACATCATACAAATATTTTAATATTGTGTTACTTATAATGAATTATGCATAAACTATATTACGTAAAAATTAATAATTATATATTATTAATAAAAAATGCGCGCGCGCATGATCAATACAGCAAGCATTATACAAACATTACCCCCATTGACATCGCTGACCTCGACACAAACCGGAATTGAACTATATCATTATCCGACCGAGAAAATGCGGTTAATTATGCGCGTGCCAATTAACACGCCATAACGATCGCCCGTTATTACACCGTTGTTCATTTTCGACTAATAACGTTGGACGGTTTGATTTTGGATCGATATAACTGAATTTCACAAATTTACTCGAATGTCGCAGGGTAACGGCTAATTAGCGTTACTACTCACCTTAATTGATTCGCCATGGCGGATTGGTCGTTTATCCACTCACTGTTATCCGGCATGCCTCGCAAGGGTGAATTATGCGGGAACACTGCAAATCGCAATGAGAATGCGTTACTTCCGAAAAACCAATTTGCACGCAAAATATATTTTTATAGTGTAAACAGCGTGAAAAAATTTTGCGGTGACCGTTTTCCGCGAAATCGCGCGATACGATATGTATGTATAGATTGGAACTTTATGGCAAGTTCACTTAGCATGAAATCTTGAGTAAATAAAAAGTCATAAACATATAAAGTTGATTAATATTATTTATCTCAGTGGCAAATTTTTCATTCAGGCGCAGTAAATATCTATCGGTTATATGCATTTTTATTCTAATTAATTTAAAATCTAATTAAAATTGAAATATAATATGTGATAGACGTTGCAATTATTGCATTAACTGCATAGTATTATTACTAATTATTATCAAACATTTAAATTAATTCATGCATCCTCTTATAAATGTTACAAGTCTATATAATTACAACTTTTACTATTACAACTCTGACTATTTTGTATTTCTAATCTATAGAACAATTAAACAGTGATCGTGGCTAATACGGAATATCTCGATCACTTCCAATTACCTCTGTGCATTTCGATTAATTCATGCATATATAGACGTAACAACCACAGCATTAGCTGTTGACTATACACATATATTGTATTAACACGTATTATTAAGATTACCAATTACTACTGCATCTGTGAATTAATTCATGCATGTAATGTTATAGAAATAATGACTGCAACATTAATTGCACGACTGCATACGTAGTATGTATGTATGTATCAGCACTACACAATATTAAAGTTATCAATCACTACTGCGTCTCTCAATTAATTCATGCATGTAATATCACAGAGTAACGATTGCAACATTAACTGCTTTTTGCATTGACCTACAAAAAATACATACAGAATATCACGATCATTATTAATTATTACTGTGGTAGGTATTGCGAATTAACTTGTGCATATATTATTTATTAAACATAATGACTATGGTTATTTCGTTCAGCTACAGTTATTTCGTACTTTTAGTGACAGAACAATTAAACAGTGATCGTGGCTAACGCGGAATATTGCAAATCACTGCCAATTACTACCGCGTATCTCGATTAATATATGCACATATAATTTTATAAACGTGATGCTCACGTACTAATTAGAGCTGTTAACTACATACATGCTGTATATTAAATCTTCATATCAATTTCTAGCACACGTTTCGATTGACTGATGCACATAGTTTTATAAAAACATTATACTAATTCGCGTTTCTAATCAAATCAATTAAGCAGTGATCGCAATAAACTGGAATATCGCGCTCACTGCCAATTATTACACATTTCGATTAACTCATTCACATAATTAATCTGTAAAGAGTTGATGACTAAACCCTACGATTGCACGAAAGTCATTTAATGGAACTGTCACATATTATCGATGTAATATTTATGCATACGATTTTTATCCGGTAGATTTATTCGGCGAGTCCAAGGGGGTCTGTCCACATACGAGTTTGGGTCGCAAGTCCAGCTCGGCGAGCTTGATTCGCGAGCCGGACTCGAACACGTTTTTCCACCACACACGAAAGGAAAATGTGCGAACTTGGGTCGTCTGACCCAAGCCGAATCCGGCTCGTGACAGTCGTGACATCCCACCCACGAACGGAGTAGAAACCGAGCCGAGCCGGACTTGCGAGCCAATGCTCGTACACGTGGATAGACCTGCTCCTAAGGCCTCGGTTTCGTAGAAGCCCAAATATCCTCTGAATTACCTTAATAAGTCGCCACGACGCGATCAGCCGTTTCCACTCGCTGTATTCAACGCACTTTGCTGGCATGCCGTGATCCGTGATCATCGCGTAATCGATCTTGCTCCGATCGCCTTGTGATAGAAAGAGATGGCAATATGGCGTAGCCGACGAGAATCAGGAGCGAACGAACGACGGACTTGCGATCGCGAAAACGCGGTTGATCAAGATCGCCCGAGCCGGCGTACACGTCACAATGACGCCCGGCGTCGTGCGCAACGCTCTCGATGCCGATTAGCACGCGAGATGCATTTTCGCCGAGCAAAAATCGCGAATAATGCGATATTTACTACCTCACATTTCACAACGACTTGTCCCGGCGCGAACCTCGCGAAGTATGAAGTATGACGCGCATGCGCAAGCAGCGCAATAAGTCGCTACTCGCGTTCGGCGTACGTCGTAACCGACGCGCGATATGGCGGACACTACATTACCAACCATTAACAACTATTACAGGATTCGAAAGCTGACAATTTCAATACGATCGATATTCACTAAATTGCATTTTAATCAGATAAATAAAGATTAGATATGAGATATTCCTTCATGATCAATACAACTTTTGGGAAATAATACGTGAATCTGACAGTTTTTCTTACGAGAAGAGTGAAAGGCAGAGAGCACAATAAATCTTCATGTTCCTTCACATGCAAAATATGTTAACTATAATTCTTAAATGCTTTTGATCGAAAGTCAGATAACTAACTTTATATACGAGGGTTCAGACAGAGAGAAGCCTGAGATCGAGGCCATCCCGGTCTTTTTCATGGGACCGTCGAAAACCCCTGTACACTAGCGCCAGTATACATCCATTTTCATAATTGGTACTATGTAGCCACATTTATTTTCGCCGATATTTCATACCGATAAAACATCAATTTGGTGCGCGTCTCAATCAAAAATAGATGGATAGGCTACAAAAAATTAGGGTGAAATCGATGCTTTGTTGAAATAAATTTTAGTAATTAATAACCATTATCACGTTTTCAATAAAATAAATTACATAACAAAATCAAAATATTTTTTACCCTTTTAACTCATTACATATTTATATATTACTTTCTTGCATCGATTTATATAATATTTAATCTTGGAAAAATAAATGAAAAGGAATAGTTGGGTATAAATACACATATCCTAACTAATTCAAAATTTTTCCCTATCTATTGATATGGATATTTTTTTATTTTTGTAACACTTAACACAACTTATTTATTTTTATCTTTTTGTTCAAGAAGAATAATATATAAAAATAATTTTATTAAAAAATCTGAATAAAAATGTTACATTTTTGAAATAATTACTTTATTTGCAATAGTATTATTTTACTTTTTGTTTCTTTGTATTTCTCTCTCTATTTATTATTCTAATTGTGAGTTATAGAATTGATCTACGCGTAAAAGTACCATAGCATATAGGTGTAACTGTGCACTTGATAAAAAATTACATGTCTGATTGATTTTCATTTTCAATAATAAAAACGAAGATTTGGAGCGTTGCAATTATACTGTGAAAGAAAAAATTAAAAAAGTTCTGTGCTGTTTTTTACATATGTGGAAACAAAATTTCGAAAATTTAATTTATTAGGAGTATAACTAGTTCCTGCCATTTTTCCGCAAAATAAAATTCTAATTCAATAAAATATGTCGTTATATATTTTATTTAAAATTTAACATTTATTTAAAAATTATTTATATAGATTATTTAAATTGAACGCGGCGCGGTTCGTCAACATAATTCAATAAACGGTCGATAATTAATGAGCTCTTTGCGAGCTCGGTGCGTGCGAAATGTGCGAGTATTTCCTCAAGCACAATCGCATAATAATCAATAAACAAATAATATTACCAAGATTAAATATCTGCCCTAATCAGTTTTAGCCCATCCATTTTAAGGCAACGGATCTACGAAATGTAATAATTTCATATTATAAATTATTGTAATTCGACATGTATCGAGATATATTTTTGCTCTATATTTGATTTATTCGTAGATTCGCTACCTCAATAAAAAAGTTTCTCACTGACTCACCGATCCGATGCGCAACAGCGAAATTATATCTGCCACCTAGCTACGTTGATTCTGTAACAAACAAATACAAAATTCATATTAAAACAGTGTTCAAAAAATCTAATGTTTTAAAACATAATTCTCATGCGCATTGAAAGTTTTGTCATTATTCAATTAAATATTTATTTAAAATATTTATACATTTTCTGAAAACAGTCTTTACAAAAATCAATTTTTATAAAATATTAAATTACTACTTTTCTTCTATTATTTCTAAATCACGGCAATGAAACGACTCGAGAATAAACAAAAAAACATTATTTTTATACAAAATAAAAAACAATATTTACCGCAAAGTTGTTCCGCTGGTGCCCGATGCCTCTCCCAGGCCTTCTCTTCCTCTCAAGCTATCCTCTCGGGTTGTCAGCTCTCTCGATGCGACACTTTCTGCGTCGTTTTCTTCTGAAGCATATAAAATATAAATATATGATTTAATATTAAATAATTGTTACGCATATCAAACTTCTTATTTATCATTTAATTAAATATTTATTTAAATAATTATACATTTTCCAAAAAAGATATTTACAAGGCTAAACTTTTATAAAATTTTAAATCATGATAAAATTGACCTCTCGGAAATGAAAGGGAAGGGAGTACGTCATCAATATGGCGGAGGCGCTTCGTTTCCGCGCGGCAACTTCACGCGTCAAAAGCGCCGCGGCGTCGCTACGCGTTCCGTAGCCAACTTAAGTTCGCGATCATGATTTTTCCGAACTTTGAGAAATCAAATATTTACTAACTCGCTTATTACTCCAATTGTTCTTTTGCATTCTAGCGAATAGCGTATTAATATTATTGGCAAATATCCGCGATATTTGCGGCACGACACTCGAAAATACGATCGTCACTTTCGCGATTGCTCGTGCGACGCACCTTCGGCCGGACAAGTATCGCGGAATACGTATTTTTAAGAAATATCAATACCCGAGCGCTAAATCTATGTTACGCGATAGATACCGCAGTGAATATAATGCATGCAAGATTAATATGTGTTATACTTACCAATTAAATGAGTCGCGACGTCGCTCGTTCCGGAGCCGATCCGTTCCGTGTCAGCCGCCTTCTGGAAATGGACATGGAAGGAGAAGGTTATACGTCATCAATATGGCGGAGGCGCTTCCCGCGTTTCCGCGCGCCGCGCGGCAACTTCAAAAGCGCCGCGGCGTCACTACACGTCTCGTTTTTACTTTCGCGTTTATGCATTTTTCTCATTTTAACAATAAATGCCATACGCTTGCCTCACACAGCAGTCAATTTTTCCTTTATGATCCTGATATGAATTAAACATATAGATATTATATATAGATACTTATTTATTATTTTATATATTTATATTATATGTTAAATATCTAATATGCAATTTCGAAAATGGATGTACTGGCGGTAGGTGCGAAAAAGGCCGAAATTGGCCTTTCTCAGGGTCTCAGGGTATATACAGACAGAAAGAATAAGAATTCTTCTCTCTGATACAGATAACGCCCAACACATGTGCAATGCGTCTCAGCGACACAGTGTCTGCTGTCTGCTAATACGTGCATCATCGCGCGTGCGTAAATCGTGGAAATGGTCCCTCCATCTGGCTATATTTTCCAGCAGCGTCACTGTACGCAGTGTACGCGCGAGTCGCGACGAAAATCTATATTAAAATGGAGGAGAAGAGTCAGGCCGCGGAGCGAGAAACCAAGAAGGATGAGGCCCACGAGAAGGATGCACGGAACAAGAGGTACGCCACGGACGAACGCCTCGTTCCGCTCGGGACTCGCGACTCCGTTTGCGGCGCGATCGTAACGAAGCTCGCCTCGCATTTCGCCGCCCCATCTTAACCTATATTCGTTTTACGAATTATTGAATCGTGCCACGTAATTCTCAGCGAATATTTCCAGACGATTTTCCGATCGCGATTCACGACAAAACGCGGTCGTCCCGAGTTGATTATGATTTGGATTCAGTTCGGAGCGATCTCTCCGCATCTCGCTGCTCGCTCCCGTCAGTGGCTTGTAATCATCATTCTGATGTAATTTGTCGACAGATATCTAATCAATACAACAGAGAGCCGTAGCCTTGCGCTTTTTAATTGTCGCTTCTTTTGTACACGTGCAAATAAACGAATTTTATGTATTTTCCTCTGTTTTATACACATATCTTTCATTGCTTATTATATATGTAGGTTTTGATATATTGATTATATACAATTAATTGAATTTTGAATGTCTAATGTTATTAAACGTATTTTTTAACTATGAAAGTTATTTGCTTTGCATTAAGAAACTTGTTATTTTATCACAGCTCCAAGAAGAGAGAAGCTCGGAAAAAAAAGAAAGAGGCGGCACACGCAGCTAGTGAAAATCATAACAACAATAAAGAAGAACAGGAGATGCCTAGCGCGTGCAATATCTCTATAAAAGATATCCAGATGGCAATGGAGGTCTTTAATATGCAACAGAAACCTGCCAAAACTCAGGAGGAAGCGATGCAAAAGCCTTATCAATTTTGGAGTACGCAGCCTGTACCAAAAATGGGTAAACTATCAAGGCATATAGAAAATTTTACGTTATTGTTATTTTTTCTCTAAACTCATGTTACTGGTTTCCAGATGAGAAAATTGTACGTAACGAGCCAATCGAACCCGATAAGACATCTATTAGGGCGGAGCCGTATTCGCTACCTGCAGATTTTCAGTGGGATACTTTGAACTTAGATGATCCTCTGGTCTTATCGGAACTGTACACATTACTCTCAGAGAACTACGTCGAAGACGATGACGCAATGTTCAGATTTGATTATCCTCCTAACTTTTTGAAATGGGCGCTGCAACCTCCTGGCTGGTGCAAAGAATGGCATTGTGGGGTGCGAGTAAGCAAGAGCGGACGTCTAGTCGGTTTTATTTCTGCTATTCCAGCTACTCTACGTGTCTACAGTCAGTAAGTATCTTGCACAAAGTGTGCTTGCGTACGTGCTCCATTTCGTAATATGTTTTAAAAATATTTTCAGCTCTCAAAAGATGGTGGAAATCAATTTTCTGTGCGTGCATAAGAAGCTAAGATCAAAGAGAGTAGCACCTGTATTGATACGCGAAATTACGAGGAGAGTAAATCTGAAGGGTATCTTTCAAGCTGTGTACACTGCCGGAGTCGTTTTACCAAAACCTATCGCGACATGCAGGTCAATATAGAAAAATATATCTATTGCGAGAATCTATTGCGCTTGATTAACTGTAAATTAATCGATATGTACGTATTAGGTACTGGCATCGATCATTAAATCCAAAGAAATTAATTGACATCAAGTTCTCTCATCTTACTCGCAACATGACGATGCAGAGGACTTTAAAGCTATATAAACTGCCAGAGACAACAAAAGTACCAGGTTTCAGAAAGCTGGTTTACACGGATATACCACAAGCGCATAAGATATTGACGGAAGTAAGTGTAAACAGAACTTTTTGACACATTTGATCATTTTAACATCCATCTTCTATATATTCATATTTGTCTTACAGTATCTAGAGAAGTTTGATCTCGCTCCGGTATTCTCAGTCGAAGAGTTTGAACATTGGTTTCTGCCGCAAACTGGCATTATTAATAGCTTCGTTGTGGAGAAGGAAGGGAAAATCACCGATATGGTGAGTTATTATACATTGCCGAGCTCCATTATGCATCATCAGACACACAAAACCCTCAAGGCCGCGTATAGTTTCTACAATGTATCCACCACAACTCCGTGGCTCGAACTAATGATGGATGCCTTAATATCAGCGCGTGACGTAAGTTTTTATTTCCTATATGTACAGCCTTCTCGAACAAGAACCGAATGTGACACAGAATGGTCTTTATTTGTAGTTGGGTTTTGATGTGTTTAATGCCTTGGATCTCATGGACAACAAGGAGTTTTTAGAGCCCCTCAAATTCGGGATTGGCGATGGCAATCTTCAATATTATCTATACAATTGGCGTTGTCCCAGTATGACACCCGGCAAAATCGGTCTTGTGCTTCAGTAGACTTCTAGCTCAGAGAATCGCTGTATAAAAAAAAGAAAGAAGATCTTTTGCATGTATGATCTCGCAAGAGATTGAGAAATAGCGATTAAGTATGAGCAAACAGGGGACATATAGCAACGCAATAAAGTCAGCGTTGTTAGATGGAGATAAGGGCAACCGTAATCTTTCTTACCAATAGGACTACGTAAACATATTTATAGCGGTCGAAAGGATTCTGAGTTTTCTTGAAGGATCGGCAACCGATCCTACGAGATGGATAATTCAGAATGGATAATCCCTCGAAAATCGCTCTTGTTTTTGTCATTGGCGCCTCTGAAGATTCTAGATTGGATTATACACGATCGGGATAAATTGTGCATTGTACAGCGCACGTGTATATACGTATCTGCGTAACTCGAACAAATGTAGATAAGCATTATGCATAATTAATAGCAATTATACGGGAAGCCATTCCGTAATCATCTGAGGATTTTCGATTTTCAATCATGTAAGCCTTTAGACGCCAGATAACTCTTTATCCGTTTTTCCTTTACACCTTTTCGGCTAATTAGACGACAACGTATGCCGGAGTGTGAGTGACAGACAAGTTAAAAATAAAATGACATTTATTGAAAATGATGAATATTGATGAATTTTTAATGTCTTATCTTGTCCCGATTACGTTCACGCATCCATATCCATAAAAAATTGGTTATATGTATTCAGGATTTTTCACGCTGTTAATTTTATTATTAGCAACCTATGGGAGCTTTCCAGCAAGCGACACAAGTCGACACAGGTATCGTTTTGTCTTTGTTACTCACATTGCCAAAAAAGAAAGATAGAACGACGTTTGTGTCGGCTTGTGTCACTTGCTGGAAAGCTCCCTATATATAGCGGCTGTAGAACTCACTTCAGAGTTATATAACCCAGGATTCTTTTTCCTAGTCTCGATTAGATATGTGAGACATGAAACACACATGTAAAAAAAACCAGTTTCGAGCAATATCAAAAAGAAAAACACCCATTTGATTGCAGGTATCAAATATATGTACTTCTTTAACCTCGTTTTAAGAAATTAATAGTTCTGATAAAAAGAACAGGGAATATATACTATCTGTACATTGTATACATACATATATGTATATAAATGTATGTATGTATGTATATAAGTTCTTTTTCCTCAGAAAATTACACCAGTCGATCCCAATAAAAGAATAAAGTTTTATCTCGCGAAGTTACATTCGTAGAATAATTACGTCACACGTTATAAATTTTCTGTTTTTAGTAGAAAAATAGCTATAGTAGAATAATCGATAAAAGATTTATTTTTACATTTTATATGTCTCAAGACACAAAGATTGCGCAACAGTATCCTTTTTATTATATTATCGTGAGCATCGTGAGTAAACCATCGTGTTACAGCCTAACTCACGGCCGGCGCGCAAGGTCTTTCTGAAGATAAGAGAGAAAACCTAGTGATGTACCCGTAGCGATTAACCGGTTAAAATTTACATTTCGCTTTTAGATAGGAAGGCGACGTCCGAATAATGACGGACCTTCGATAAATTTGTAGACCCGTCGTATGTTCAAACGATCGATCAATGACGTTGAGCAGGCAGGAGGACACCGAGCGATGCCGTTCCACCTTGAACGAACATATTCTACAAACACGGTCGATCGAACGATATCGCTAGCGATCGGTAGATATGGGCCGAATATAACTATTGCTTGTTTACAGCCGTGTTTTCTAGCAGCGAAAAATTTGCATCTAAATATATTCAAATTCCTAGTGAAACTAATTAACTGATATAAACGACGGCCCTTAGTTAATGCAACGGGGCTAAACGATGGCCAGAAAAACTGAGTCAGGGATACAATAAATGAGGGCTTGCTGTAATACCTGCAAACGTGACGTGGTTTTCTTACGAGGAAACCAATAATAACAAGATACATGGTCTGACAAAATTGTCATATCTACGTCAATATTTTTTTTAGCCGAGTGTTGCATAAATAATATCAAAATGCTAAATAATGTTATAATTGAATATGGTAATGCTTTTTTTGTGTGTGTACACCCGGATGCACGGATATTTATTTATTCAAGCAGTACTCTTTTTATATATTTCTAGATTTCTATATATCTACTTCTCTTTTAATTAATCGCATATATTAAAAAAAAAATTTTATGACATGAAATTAAAAAGAAGTATGTTTTAGTTATTTTTCACAAAGTTACGTTTTCCATTAAAATTTCTGCAACTGAACATACGAATTGTTTTTGGTAACGATAAAGATGATCACGATATTTTTACATATCAAATATTTGTATACCCCATGACAGCTGCATATAGACATAATTACAAAAACATGTCTCTTAACGTATATCATTTATTGAAGTTACACTTTCCTCAATGCTTTTGTAATAAAATATTTCTTGCGAGTGTGCAAGAACCTCGAAGAAATTCCTTTTGTGGGAAGTGGCCGTCTGATCATAATCACTTGTTAACTACTTGTTAACTCTGATCGTTTTAAAGTGACAGAAAGTTTTTCATCGTGGAAACAGAGAGAAAGAGACATGACGTTTCTTTCGCGAGAGACTACATCGTGTTTCATCATCCAGGAAGTTCCTGACCAGACACGCTCGTATCGATCTCGAGTCGTGTTAATATAGTAAATGTCGAGATAGATGCTCATCGAGAGCGCAATATTTACTCGCGGGCGCTCACGTGTCCTTTGTACTGCGGCATAATAACAAGCAAGAAAGAGGGAAAAAACACGAGGGGAGGGATATGTGCAAAAAGCGGAAACGTCGAATCATCGAACAATACCCGGAGCCAGATAACACTACGAGGCGTGGACGAGCCAGGAGTAAGTGGGGAAGACACGAGACACACGATGCGGAATAAATACTGGCCTGAAATCGAGCGGAATTCAGTCGCACACTTAGTGTACTAACGACGTAAACGTCTGATCATTGTGGGAGGGTCCTCGTTCTCACGCGGACCCCCATTGTTTTGGCACCACTTTGCCAATTGATTAATTAGTGGCGCCTCGATATCGCAAAACTTCCGAGACGTTCGAACGTCAGTTTGTAATTCACCAACGAGTGGCTCGTTACCACCGAAGTCTATAGTATTCTGCGAAACTTCATCATCCAAACGTGGACCAGACTATCACGATGTTACTAATCCGATATTCTCTGATCTTTGCCTTTGTGTCTGTCGCGGCCGCCACTTTTTTCGGGTATTTTGCTTGAAGAATACTATATATTCCCCGACTCTCTGAAAATCGCGAAACTCGTTCAAAAATAGCTTAATTTTGATTAATAATAAGAATAAAAAATAAAATAAAAATAAGAAATAGTTTAGTTTTCATTTTCAAATAATTCGTTGACCTTCTCGCATACGTATTAGATATGTAATTGAGTGTACTTTAGTTTTATCAGTTAATTTTCAAACAATTTGTCACCCTTCCTTGATATCTATCAAATATGAAATGTTTTAACTTTTAACATTATATTTTTAAATACTCCGTCACGTCTTCTTAAACTAAATATACTGCTACGTAATACGAGGGTTGCTAATCCAATCCTAGAGGTCCTATAAATGCGAGGCATCCGAAAGGATCCGACCGAAAATATCTTATCTAATGGGTGTCATTGTCCACGCTCTCGAGTCACCTCGTGTTTCTGTCCAGCTTCGGTACAACGACCCCCGCGGCAGGCAACCCGTCGCAGTTCGATGTTTATTGGAACGTGCCCAGCTTTATGTGCAATCAATACGACGTGATATTCGAGAATCTCAAGGATTTTGGAATTCGTCAAAACACGTTGGATAAATTTCGCGGTGAAGAGATCGCGATCCTTTATGATCCTGGAATGTTCCCAGCGTTGTTAACCGATAAAACTGGTAAGTTAAAAGTTACTGAAAAAGCATTTTATCAGTGAATAAAATTGTTCAAAGATATCTATAAAAGACGTGTTTTGGAAACACTTTTATATTTGTTAATAATCTCATCTACATAACAGATATCTGTTAATGATTCTAATCAGGTTAGGAAATCTGATTTCAGATATTTTTCTGAAAGATTTTAATTGATTTATGTATTTTCAGGAATCGTAACGAAAAGAAACGGTGGCGTTCCTCAAGAAGGGGATTTGAAGAAACATCTCGAGACGTTCCAGAAGCACTTGATCAAGCAAATCCCTGATGGGTCGTTTAGCGGTATTGGCGTGATAGACTTCGAGAGCTGGCGGCCGATCTTCCGACAAAATTGGGCCTCTCTCGAACCCTACAAAACTCTGTCTATAAACCTGGAACGTGAGAAACATCCCAATTGGAGCGACGGAGCCATCAGAAAGGAAGCGAAGCGTCGCTTCGAAAAATACGGCAGAGTATTCATGGAAGAGACCTTGAAGATGGCAAAGAAGCTTCGGCCTAAAGCCACATGGGGCTATTACGGTTATCCACATTGCTTTAATCAGACTCCTGGCCAACGCACCTCACACTGCAATCGTCAGACTATGGTAGAGAACGACGGGTGAGTAATACGTCCGAGGAGGATCAATAATTCAACATCTGATAGCGTGTATATAATTTAGTAACGTATATATGTAAGCGCGTCACTATACACTTTGCACGGAACGGGCAAATCTCGAGATGATCTCGCGATCTCCGTAGCTTAGCATCAGGGTCGTGTTTTATCGTGTCGCTTTACCGCCGGGTAAAAGAATTTATGAGCACAGTGTTTAATTCACCGGCTGATTTACGATAATGATGTCATTCCGGATACAAAACGATTATGGATCACGTATTAAGATTACGATGTTTATGCCGAAATAGGTCAATGTCGAGGATAGCAGGGTATTAAAAACCAACCTGCAGTTTCGTTAGCGGGGCGTTATCTAATCGCGTGAAGTGATAAAAGAACGGTCGAGGATCCAGAATATCGGCGTTAATCATAGGCAACAATTTTCGTAGAATGTCTTGGCTCTTCACGCTCGAGGACATGCACTTGCCTTCCGTATACTTGAGACAGGAGATCGAAGAAGAGGATCGAGTGGGCTTCGTGAAGGGCAGAGTGTCAGAGGCGATACGTATCGCGGAAAAATGTCCGAGCAAACAACAAATTCTTCCATATTACTGGTTCAAGTATCAGGATCACAGAAATAACTTCTTGAGTAAGGTAAGCCTTTTCAAGCTCCTTCAAATGTTCCAACATCAATCAAGACATTCCGGTATCGATTCCGAGGATTTATCTGCACAGAAAGATACGGAGAATGCGTTCAGCACGATTGCCAGCCTCGGTGCCGATGGTCTGATCATTTGGGGTAGTTCCGAAGATACGGATACGGAACAAAAGTGCAAGGACCTGCTACGATACGTAAAAGAGACTCTGGGACCAACGATAAAGCGGATCAAACGGCTCTAAACGGCGGAATAACGCAAAGTATGAGAAAAATTGCACAGTACAAACAGTCTTTTCTTTTTGTTTATTTGGTCGTTAATTCGTAATTTAATTTCTGATTTAGTTCCCAATACGATAGGCACATTTACATTTGTAGGGTCCTTAGCGTATTTGCAAGATACAATACATTTGTAAATTTAAATAATTGTAGGTAAAATGTCGTCTAAAAATTATAAACTTCGAAGAGCCGTAGATGAATATTGAGAAAAACCGAGGGCTAACAATAAGATTATGAGAGACTGTGAGGGAAAAGAGAGAAGCAGCTTCTAGCTGCCCGGCGCCGAATTCTCGCAGACCGCGGCGGGCCTAGACAGATCTCGTTAACGTCGACGAAGGCGCGCGTCGCGGCGTCCGACTCGCCATCCCTGAATCCTCCTCTTCATCACCTTCGCGCCGCACATCGCTCCGAGACCGGCAATTGCACGCAGCTCGGTCTCTCGCGCTACGATCGATGAACGCGCGATATCAGCGTACGACAAGTTTTACTGGTTCGCGGTGTAACGCCTCGGGCGATATGCTTTTTACAGTACGCGCGACGCGTTTTGTAGAGAGGTGGTAGTCGGGAGATCTCTTTCCCGTGCTCACGGTTGATCTCTTCCCCTCCTCGCATTCGCCTTGCTGGCCCCGTCGTCCTTTCTCTCCGCTCTGTCGCACCTGCGGAGAACGTCGATGCCGAGGCGCGAGATCGACGAAGAGGGAGAATGGAACGGGAACGCGGCGCGGAACGGGAACCGAACGCGTACCGCGAGTAGAAGGAGGAGCTGAAGGGGAGAACCCGGTGGTGGAGGTGGAGGAAGAAGAAGAGAAGGAGGCGGCGGGTAAGCGGGAAGAGGAGGAGAACGGAACACGAGAGATCGGCAGCACAGTTTCGTGTTCAACTTAGCTCGGTTCGGCTCTCAGCTTCGTGGTATCGGAAGCCTCCAAGTACTCGAAAAGGTCGAGGTTCTTGTACGCACTCCCGCGAACGGTTCCGCGCATTTTGCCTCACCGATTGGAGAATCCGGCGATCGCGATTTCTCTCTTCCTTTCTCCGTCCTCTCGCGAGAGACGCGAGATTCTTAGTCGCTCGAGTAGCGACTAGAATACCTGTTGCTCTGTGTGCTCACGCGAGGAAACCGGCGGCCTGTTGGTGCGCAGTTCGCGAGCGAAACAGCGACAACGAAGGTGACGTGTACACCGAGGTGAGTGACAGTCTCTCTGAAGAAAAGCCAAGACCTCCCTAGCGCACTTGAAGTCAGATCACGACGCGAGCCTCCGCGAGAGAGCGAGTTCAACTCGCTCGTTATGTATATTTTGAGATAGCTACTCTTTTTATCGACTGCTACGATTCAGGCTTGCTCTCCAGCTGCTCCGAAAATCGCTGACTCTCAGAAAGCGAAGTCTGCGTTCAGTGAGAGTTCGTCTGTCTCTTGCGAAATTCGAAGCGCATTCGTTCGTGCATATTTGTGTGCATGTGCATGTGCATCTATGTATATGTGCATGAATGCATGTATGTCCCCCGTATGTAATGTATGTATGCATATATACGCGATGCTCTTGCGCCGACGCCCGAACGCGTGCACGCGACAATAGACGCACTCTCACCACTCCGGAATTCTAAATACTTCGATGGAGGATTGTGGAAACGTCAGAGGGCTTAATTCCCAGCATTCGATTTTATTGTTAACGATTTAAAGAAAAGGATCTCTAAATTCGGATCGAGCTAGGCATGGCTGAAAATCTTCCGGAATGCGTTTGCGCTTTCTTCTTCGAGTATTCCGAGAGCGTGGTACAATCTCTGGTACCTCCGCTTCGAGGAACAAGGAACCCAATACCAGCTGATCGAATTACGATGATCGCGGTCCTCCTCCTTCGTGGGTGAGAGGCCCGGGGACGAACTCGAGCGATACAGAAGCCTATCCAAAACGTTTCGGCCACTAATCCTAATGCTCGGACCCCTATTCCGGATTTAATGATAGCTCTTCTTAGACGCAACAGTTAAGTTCCAAGCTAAACTGTTGCGCGGTAGCGAACCCATAATCGGTTCCTTTCTAACGGAGACTGTCCACGATTGGTCCACAGCTCACAGCTACCGTCCGACTTAATTGGTCGGTCTTATAGGTGTCCGACAAGGTGAGAATATTAACGTTTCGAGATTCCAAATCGGCTTCGTCGATTATGCGTTGTAATATCTTTCACGAATAAAACGTATGCACATGGAAATGTATTCTCTCTTGAATACTTTCATTTTTGGCATCAAATAAAAGCTTTGTTGAAAATACGCGAATAAATCTTCTAATATAAATTATTATTTATCTTTTCCTCTTCTATTTTTTCTGTTTTTTTTTTCTTTTAAAAATGTTATTGTAATTTTTAAATAATTTTTAGCAGTCTTTGTTATAATTATTATATTATGTTATTAATATATAATTCTATCTTCGAGATTCATATCTTTTTATTTTTAAGATAAATTCTTTGTTAAAGGTGGCTTGTGAATTATTTTACATTCCACAATATTCTTTTGAAGCTTAAAAAGTGCTTTTGCAGAAGAATCAATGTAACTGGATATTTCTAAGCAACAGCGTCGATAGAAAAAGGATGGGTAATTCCTCAATTAGTTTCTCCTTGTCTTTCACGTAAACGAGGAAAGGAAGAAAAGTGCTAAAGGGGTTTTGGCCGGACGAGTAAACGGGTCGAGGGGGGCTGGTAGCGCCAGAAGTAGCTGGCAGGCTCGAGGAAGACGAAAGAGACCGTTTTAAAGAGGCGAGCATTAAAAACAACAATGTCATTACATTTTAACGACCTGTTCTTTGGCTCTGCCCTCCCTTTTAAGAGCATTCGTTTGCAGGTATGTGGTCTGCGCTCACGGGGGCCACCACACCATGCCGAGGGAGCTCCTATAGTAACGCGCACACGAGTCGCGTGTGCTGCGTTTACGCGGGGCCACCTCGTTGACTCTGCCACCTCCACCTTCATTTCCTCCTTCTACAATTCAACGTAAAGCTAGAGCTGTGAAATAAAAACGAGCTCAAGTGTTTTAGAGCAAACGTATCTTTCGAAAGTATATGCAGAATTAATCTATAAAATAAAAAGACGACGATATTTTAATGCCAACAATTGGAGCATGGACAATTAAACAAAATTAAAGAGATTTTTCTTTAGATACTTTTGTAAGAAACGTTTTGCATGCAATTTTTTCGCAAGAAGAAAAAAGTAAAACAAAAGAAAAATCGATATATTTTAAACACGAGCTACTTTATCACGAGGGAATGGAGCAAAGCTCATGTAAGTCCTCTTCCGCCTAGTTCCCCATCCCTCTGTCCCCTTCTCACGGACTCCGGTTCGGTTCCCCACACGCGTTCCGGGCACGCCGTGCAGCCCGCGAAGAATTAGTATGGGCGAAGAAACAAAAGCACGAGGAATCGCGGAGGGATCAGCGACGACGAAGAAGATAGAGGAAAAAAAAGGAACCGAAATGGCGCCACACGTTCAGCGTGTTTTCGGGGCATCCCCCAGTGCTGTTGGCAAACTCCTTTTTTCGGCGCCGTCCGTCTCCCTCGTACTCGCCCGTTCCTGGTCCTCCTTCTCGTACCCTGCGGGCCCTGCCTCGCCTTCTCTGTCTTTCCTTCGGGTATTCTCTCGCGATCCGCACCCTCGCGCAACCGACTTCTCTTTTATTTCCTTACTCCTTCTCTATTCTTCAAGCTCACCCTGTACCCCTGGGCCATCTATTAGTTCGCTCATGGTATCCCAATATCTGAAAGAGTAAAAAAAGAGAGAAGAAAATAGAAGAAAAGAAGGAAAAAACGCCAGACCATGCTGGCGTCCCAACGAAATATGAAATTAGGGTATGTCAAAACGGGGGGTGGAGATTTTCATTAAAACCAATGGGAGATTAAAACCCGAGACACCTAATTATAGATATATCACTCGCCGTCATCTCCGGATCGTTCGGCCATGCACCGGATCATTAAGTTCGGGAGATTGAACTTCGAGACGACCGGATCCTTCTGTCCCGGCCAAGTATTATACACGGACCGCAGGTTGATCGGCGGGCGCGCATGCAACTTGGCACCAGAAGACAGGAATAATATTATTTTCTACCGCTGCATGGGTGATTTCATTACGAGAAAAACAGCACGATGTCATTACGGCGTTGAGCAACCGTGCGACCCCGCATGCAGGATTAAATATAATTACGTATGATCTATTATCGCTTACGGTTGTCGAGGAAAGCATGCTGGCGAAGGTGGTTGGCGTAGTAGTTTTATGGAGAGGGAATTAAATCGTAGAAGAAACTTGTATGACTTTGATCAACATGCGACAACGTATTATCGCAGAATGCTTTTCACCGATAGATCCTTCCCCCTTCCCACCCAAAATCCTTCTTTCTTCTTTTCTCTTTTTATCCCTTGTCGTATTTTAATATTGCGATGTGAAGCATAGCTATATAGATACCGAATAATGAGCATTTTTTCAAAAATATAGCTATTTTCTTTTAATTTATTTTTCATGTAATTATTGGAATAAGAAAAAATAAATAAGTATTACGCGATATTATTTTTATTAAAAATCTTTTGTTGTAAAATGTGCGTGAAAAGAAAGTTGCAAAGAACGCAAAGAAAGTTTGCGTTATCTTCTTTGCTGCTGACATCATCGATGTATATGGCTAACTATCTTGATGTTTCAGTTTCTTACGATCTAATATCTAACGTTAAAATACTTGTGATACGCATCGCGCTTTTATAACGAACGCATCATCTCGTCAAGCACCGCGCTGTCGACGGAGGATAGATAAAGAAGAATCAACGATCAGGAGGATCGATGGAAAACCGTCGGAGATTTCGATGGGGCACACATATGGGCGGACAGGCGCGGCACCCTTTGTGCCGGTACCGCCTAGGCTCGGGGGCGCGTCAAATTTGCTTGAAAATCAAATTAATCTCGCGGCTGGGCGCAAGATCCTCTCTCTCGTTTCATCCTTCTTTCTTCGCTTTTATCCTATTGCCTTTTCACTCCCTCCCACCGCGCATCTCTCTTACTCTCTCTCTCTCTTTTTCTCTTTCTCTTTCTCTTTCTCTTTCTCTCTTTTTCTCTTGCTCTCTTCATCTTCTCTCGGTATCTCGAGGACACGAGCAAATCGAAGGCACGGGACCGAGATGGAGGCGAAGAAGGAGGTGGGCCGGAGGTCCTCCGTGCCACCGACACGGACCCAGAGGCGAGAAGAGAAGGTGGCGCAGCAACAAAGAGCTTTGGACTTCTGGCTGTGGCCATTGCAGGGCCGTAGCCATTCCATGTTGCGGAATATATAACTTCAAGTATATATTCGTATCTTAAGAACAATATAATACCACAACGCAGAGCGTTGGATCTAACATGCAAATTTAGAAGAGGAAAGAAAGGACTACTTCCGAGTTATAAAGCAACATCAATCGAATATAATGATCTATGTAATTGGATGTATAAATTTCTTAAAAATATACATAGATTTAATTAGATAAATGTAAAGAGACAATTAATTTAATTAGTTACCGTTAATATTGTCTGTAACTCTCTGGAAGACATTGATCGATACTCCGAGGTGTAAGAATAATTTATAACAAAGTTCAATATTTCACATAGAATGGCATCAAATTCGATTTTACTAGCGATGCCAGGAAGCTAGCTTTATTTTAGCGTATATATCGATTTTATCAAGTCAAATATATATATTTTACGTGAATTTATTTAAACTGAATTAAAACGTAATTTGCTTATAAATCTAAAGGTTTGATAATCTTGTAATTTCGAAAATGTCGGTAATCATTGTTAATCGTAACATCTTACTCGAGTACGTCCCTGCTGCATCCTATTCGGTCATTCAAATCTCCGCTCGTAGAAATGGGACGGGCGGCCGCGCCGCGCCGTGTTGCCCACACCTTCGCGGCCTTAAAGTATACAGGGTGATTCAACAAGAATTACTCGAGAGGCCTAATTTTTGAAACGTGATACGTTTCTTCGTATTTCTCAAGTTGCACCCTGTAAACAGATCCCAAGCAAGAATAAGATTTATCCCTGCGATACGATAAATTCAACAGTATTATCGAGAGAAAGAAATCAATCTATTGTCTCGCGTTTAACAATAATTGTATGTGTCGTTAACTATAAAAAGATATTGAAAAAGCTACTCTTTATTTTTCGTTTTACACACTTTCTTTTCGATTGTTTCTAATATTCCAATGGTTTCTCTCAAATTCACGAAATTGGTCTGCAGCCCTGACTGCACCATAGTTCTTAGAACTTGAAATAAAAAACAGAAGATCAAAGAGATTCTACGTGAGAATAAAGGAGAACGAAGGGTTGCGTTGCGGGGAATGAAGAAAAAGATCTTTCCTGTGAACCGAACGCATTCATAGGACTGGACGGATATAGTGGAAGTTGTGAAATAGGAGGAAAAAGAGGAGAACGGAGGAGAACGGGCAGAAAATGAAGCGACGAAGAAAGGCAGAGGTATAGGATCGAAATCGAAATGCATCGTGAACAAGACGGCGGGAGACGAAAAATCGATCCTCTCTCTGGAAATGCCGGCGACCAATTGTCCAGCGAGGGACAAGATTCTTGCCGTTGTCAGGAATTCAGCTCGCGAGTCCCGACGAGGACGTGAATCCTTCGAAGGACGGCACGAGTATCCATGCAACATCGCGAGATTTCTCGATTTCCGTACTCCTTTTTTTCGGTGCAGCCGAAAAAACAATAGGGTTCGCGTAATTGGAACCACGAACCTTCTGGTTCAACATTCATATCAATGTCGTTGATGTAGTTGGGAAAGATTTAACCCTTAATAAATCGAAACGTTCATAATACGCATGTATTTAAAGCTGTATTTTTTTTATATTAGATAGATAAACATTTGTATATTTAAATGTACACATATGTATGTGTTTGTCGCATATTTTGTTATACCATTATTTTTATTTACCCTTTTTCGGTTCTTTACGATTACTATCATTTATGTAACTCTTTTTATATTTAAGTCGTGCAAAAGAAACAAGTTATAAACGAAATATATCTAAACTTTCCTCTACTTTTCTTTCTTTTTCTTCTTTACATTAGTAAACTCTTTTTATTTGTGAAATGTTCATCTTCATTGTTTTTACTTTGTTATATTGAAAGGGAGACCACGTTTCTTTATCTTTTGTCTCTCTCTTTCAGGCGCCACACATTCCGCTGGCTTTAAAAAATATATATATCGCCGGAAGGAGTGCATCGCGTTCCCATGGCTAGTGCCTAAAATCCGCCGCTATTTATGGCGGGGACATCCACGACGAATTCCCTTGCCTATGCGCCAAGCTCTAAGGAAACACGAACTTCCTTTATCTCGAAATCTCGGAAAGTTAAAATTCGAGCATGCCACATTGAGATCGGAGATCACCCTTAACGATCTATGAATGAAACGCATCGCGCCATCACCCAATAACGAGAACCCGTTCCTTCGTTTGGCGCCGAAACGAGCGGACCATAACTTTCGATGCATCTTTTTACGGATACTTGGTGCTCGCACGCGAGCCATCTAATTAATTTCTCAGTGGCCAAAGTAATTTATTCGGATGCTATCTTTCCGTCATACTTATATGCATCACAATTACTTTGAGAGACTAGTAGTTAAACATTTCTCACAACAACTTTAAAATCTATATATGTTCCTCGTCGTCAATACACTGAATATAATGATTTATAAAGTTATAAATGTTACGAATACACACAAAAGTAAAAAGAAATAAACAAGACATCGTACTGGTAAATCTTGATGACACAATTTCAATCAGTCATTGAACCTGAAAACTCGAGTTAAGTAGTACGCTATCTTAACGGCTTCAGATGACATCGTATGCGATCATCCATTCGGAAAAATAATCCTCCAAATTCTTAATATGCCCGATGCAAACTGCAGTGCTTCCATCGATTTGTGGAAGAAATTAAAATTTACATTAAAGTCTTTCTTCCTTTCGCTGCTCCATTTTCCACTGCTGCAATTTCGCAATCGTGGTCGCACGAATCTCCTATATCTTCAGTCGCAAAGAAAAAATAATATTGACCGAGCTTCTAAATATCTTAATTATTTTATTCATTATTTGACCAAATTATAAAGATATTCTTGATTTCTTTGTACTGTTTCAGGAATCATGGGGACGATATGGCGGCTGTTTACGATGACGTTCTTGTTAATGATGCATTCTGCTCTACTCAGTGCTCATCGTGAACACAAGGTTTGTCTTCATTAACATTATCTTAAAATTATCCAATCCATTTATTGAATGTATTTTCTTTGATTAGAATTTCTGTGAAACAATAGTTTTGTAAATTATTTAATTTAATAGCTTTTTTTATATATATTTGATTAAACTCACAAAAAACATAAATTTTTGTTAGGTTCACAACATCGTGCTGTATCCTGATAAGCATAGCTGGTGCAAGACGACACCTATAAAGCAAGTAGTGACATGGCCTCAGTGTTCTTCGCAGGAATTGGACAACAACGTATGCGTTGGCGCTTGTTTCTCATACATGGTTCCTCACAGTGAACCCTCCGCACCTGGTGATCTCATAAGACCTTATTGCGATTCTTGTCAACCTCTGGATAGCGTTTGGCATACTGTGAGTCTATCAATATAAAGATTGTGAGTTTTTGAAACTCAATAATGTTTTATCGCTTAAGCCATATTTGCTTTCTGTTATTTTCTTACAATAAATAACTTATATATGTAAGAATCTAAGAATATTTCTCACCGTTGATTAAAAGCTAAAAGTATTTAACTCTTATCCTCTTTATCTTTATGCACTTGATAAAATTGATTGACTAGTCATAACAAAGTTGCATTTTATTAGATAATCGTATTTTTGAAAGTATGTACGATTTATAACACTTTTTTTGGTTCTTATAATTTTTTGAACTATAAGTTTGACAAAAATTAAATTATTATGGAAATGTAACAAATTAGCAAAGTTTTAAAAATATTGCAAAGTATTCGATTTCTTTGACATGCTCTTATTAGAAATTATTCCGTGTTATTCTCAGGTTACACTAGATTGCAAAGACGAACAGAATAATCCGGTGACCATGCAAAAGAAGGTGCAAATCATCACAAACTGTTCCTGCAGTTCCTGCATGGAGACCTCGAAGATCAAGCCGGACTACAACACCTTGCTGCAGTCCCTGACGGAGGAGAACTTGGACAAGAATGTGAACGTGGCGCACGAAACGCCCGATTTATTGCTGGACCCGAACTTAAACGCCTCGAAGAATACGACGAGAGACGGAACGCAAACCAACGAACGAACCGTTGGAGGAACCCTTCAACTCGTCAAGAAATTGAAAGACTCGCAGAAACTGGACGAATCACATATGAAGGAATTGTTCTCTAAATACGAGGAGGAAGTCGATTTGGAAAAATTAAAGGAAATGTTTAAGAAGTACAACCAAGAGGACGAGGAAGGCCAGCATGAGCATCATCATCAGCACCAGCACGAGCATCAGCATCAACACCAACAGCAACAGCAGCAACACCTTCATCACGGACCGCATCACTCCCTTGTATTGGACTCGGACGTGAAGGAAAAGATTGACGTGGAACCGCATTACTTGCATCCCGCTGTCGCTGGACAAGAGATCAGTTACCACGACAACATTCTGGTGGGTAAGGAGAAGAAGAAGGACTTCTAGGCCCATCGAAGCGGAATTCGTCGTTGCACGAGTGTCGCCTTCGTTCGCCACGCTCGTAAAAATTCGCGGTAGTCGGTTGAAATTCATAGTGTATAGATATTTTGATAAGCGAACGATTGGGATACCTAGTCTGCTATCTGATTTTAATTCCACGTATTTATTTACGTAACGATAATTGGATCGTGAGATATTAATTGTTGATATATTTATTGATAATTATTTTTACAAAATTACGTAATAATGGTTTTGTACATTTTTATAATTGTTTGAGCAAAAAGGAGACAAAAATCTCCTTTATATTTCATATTTTATAGCTTATAGTAAAAAAAAACTTTTAAAAATGGCATACGAATTAAAAATAAATGTAAACCCAATATTTCGAAATTAATTCTATCGCTATTGAAGATGAAAAAAGAATCACAAGAGCGTGTGTGAGAAAGTGGAAAGATTGGGATGGGAGAAAATTCTAATATATATTTAATTGTTATTATGTTAATTAATTATTTAAATAGCTGCATAACAATCGGGACGTTTACTCGACTTTAAGCATACGGAGTGACGCTTTAGTGAGATATAAATCCCGATCGATAAAAGTATATAACTGATAATCTCGAGTCTGAATATCAGTCTCGACATGACATCGACCTCTACGACATAATACACATTGTATTATTCTCTTTAGAGAATAAAGACCACCATGGTCAACATTTACGTCTTCTCAATGAGATTCTTGCGAACGTTCTTCCTCCATTTCCATGGAAATTCTTTATTCCCTTTTTCGGGAAATATACTTATCGTTAAAAAATTATTGCGCCATATGACGTTATACTTAAAAGTTCGAAATCTTTCCATTCAACACGAATCTTCTCATTCTTTTTATTTCCTCGCATTTATTCCTCGCAATTATTTTATATTATGAGAACTTTTGTATTATCTATCTTCATCCAACAAAGATAATCTTCATTAATTTCCATTTTCTTTCTCTCGCTGAGCTTCAACTTCAGCATTTGCTCTATATCTGTAGATAAAGTAATAATATTTCAGAAAAGAACTTTTTATTTGGTATAAATCAGATTGATATAGATCAGAAATTTTCCTGTTTGCACTACATTTTTTCAATTATATAAACGAGATAATAGATAAGAGTTACAAAATCTTGAAAAATATGAGAAATTTGGTAAATAACAGAAGGAACTTATCAAAAGAATAGATATAGATAGTTGCATCTACATACATAGAGATTGCCTAATTTGTGTTGACAAAATTAACAAAAATAACCATTTATATAAGTTCAACGTTCAATTATAATCCTAGCCGAAGATAAAATCTTAATTCTGATATCAATCTTAGATCGGGATTATAGATGTTTTCTAAATTTTGCTATTCAGGTCATCACTATGAATGAACTATCCTTTAGTACGTGATTTCAAAGTGTGTGTAACGATTAATATTTATCTTTAATCGCGAAAGAATTTCAGGAAGACACGATTTCGAAAGGTTTCTTTCGATGCTATCATACCGTAAATCTAGATCGTTGACAAATCGGCTGGCAAGCAAATGGCTCATAACGATAAGAGAAAACGACTTTCGGCCGATGGTGGCGGTAGCACATACTATACGACGTGATATATCGGAAAGAGCGCAGTGTTGTCCGATGCGCCGTCGCGCACCGTCGTCGCTTTCTCGATCGCGCGACCGCGAGATCGCGATCGAGAGAAGCTTAGTGTATCGGAGATCTATTGCGACACATTTCCAATGAAGTGTCGGTGAACCTGTCAAATCTAGCGCGATGCATAGAAATCACTTGGTTTACGACTATTTTTGAGATTCTACATTCCATAACTCTCTCTCTATTCCAAGTAGCGGGACTTATCAATATCATTTCGAAACACGAAATAACGGAGCTTAATAATCGTGTAACTAGAATAAAGTGTAACTAGAATTAACTTTTGTGGACTGGTTAATATATTTAAAAAATAGACATTTTTTATACTCTTACAAATCTTGTTATATTTTTTTCTACTCGACGTCACATAGGATTGGCTAAATAGGTTTGCAAATGCAACACGGTAAGAATTGCAACACGATTGTGAGAACAGGATATATTCACCTCACAAAGAAAGAGATCACCGAGAACCGCAAGAAAACTCACAGCAATTCACTGTTGCTCATCGTACGACGGCAAGATGGATACAGCGAATGGTAAGACTTTCCAAGATCATTTATCTAAGTATGAAACTTATCAAAGTATGAAGCATGATTTATGAGACGAAAGATTGGTCTCGTTATCCTTGTCAAACCGTCTCGCGGTATCGAACGTTTGCTTCGTCAATATGTCTGGTTATCGGCCTCGTGTCTGGAATTCTTAACACGATAGTTAGCGTTTCAGTAACATCAATTATTATTATCACTTTCACCGTTAAACTTTTAAGTAGTACAATTTTGTATCGCAACCACCTGTACGATTCTTCAAATTACATATTTTGCTCGATAAACGATTTGAATAATCATCAAATCTTATATGAATAATATTATGATAAATACGTGACTGAAATCCTACGGAAAGCACGTAGCATAGCATACGTTGTCGCATTGTATTTTTTTTATTATTTGTGTGTAATTTTCTGTGTCAATTTTGAGTAAATTATTATCTAGAATAATTATCTCTCTCTTGAGATAATAATGAGTTAGCTAAAAGATTCTAAAACGAGATATTAGCTTGAGAAAGGAAACGTGATAATTCTCTTGGCGACAAATTATACTGGAATCATATTTTTGCAAGAAACTGCAAAGATAAGGTAATACTGTCAATCCGTTTACCCAAGCATAAAACTAAAGCATGTGATTTATGAGACAAGATATTAATCTGGTTTGAAATTGTCTTACGTAAAGCGTATAGACACGTAAATATCGTAAATTCAGTAGATCCATATAACTATTCTATCTGGCCATTTCTTCTCAATTAGCTATATAATTATTATAAAAAAAAATTTTTCACAAAATATCTTATTGTTAAATTAAAACCTCGTTCTTTTAAGTATAGCAAATAATAGAATAGTACATTTGATATAAATCTTTTTAAAGATATTTTTCACAAAGCGTGCATTTTGACGTGACAGTCAAATAGTCTGGCAGTCGTTACAATGTCGTTAACATAATTATACTTAATGTCTTTTATATTAAATACAAGTGTTAAATTATGAGACGTTACGTAAATATTTCTACTCTATTCTATCTTTCATAATATGAGTGAACTTTTAGAAAAAACCAAGTTAATTAACTGGTCATGCAAGATTCGTATATGTGCAGCATGCGTATACACATCAATCAGTGTAATCTTACATAACCGGCAATTCTAGTTTGGAGTTGATTATGGTGTAATTCTATTTTGCATCTTCAAGTTGATTATGGCGCAACAACGAGACAAGGAATGTATCATTATAAATAAATAGAAAGTTGTCGACAATCTAAAATTTAAATTTTAGCCAATCAAAAGAACGTATCTCTACGTAATATTCTTTTTAATTAAAAGCTAGATATTAGTGATATTATGTTAGCAAAATTTATGCATATATTTATGATGACAAGTTTTAAAATAGCCGTCACTTATATTTAATTGTGTGAAATTAAGTTGAATTGAAACAACAAATTCTGCTAGCAACGTTGTCCTCGACCTCTGCATCATTTAGAGTCGCGACTGCTTAGACAAAAGTAATATTGCTCAATTACTAACGACGTCTCGCTCGGCGTTTTAATATTGACGAGTCTTTAATTCCGTTTAACGCTTCAATTAAAGAGACGCACTAATCGTTATCTTCACCCAAAAGTTTTATCCGGTCTGAAACATTTTTTTTTGCGAAAATCTTTTTGCTTTCATTTGTTGCGTGAATTGTGCTCCGCGATAAAGTCCACTCGTTCTTGTCACAAATTTAATCAATTAATCATCGGTTTATCAAGAATTTTGAATTCCATGATAATAATTAGCGCGAAAGAGTTTATTACAAGGACGATCTTACGTGTAGATAAGTTGTAAAATACAAAATAACTTTATTGTAACGATTTTATACCTTAATTTCATACTTTGCGAATATAAATACTATAAATAATATCTCTTATCTGTTTACTATGTAAAAAAAACCATGCATCTGTAATAGGAGTACGTTTGCGGTGCAGATTGAGAAATTATATTATATAATATTAAATATTTGCAAAATCTGCGACCGATGCGAGTATGACTAATTAATACCAATAAAATCTTGATATTAAAATGCTTCTAAATGTTAAAAATAAAAATTAGTAATAAAAATTTAAAAAGTAAAAAAATATAAAAAAATTAATTAATAATTATATATAATATAGAAAGATAGGAATCTAAACACAAAAATATATTTAATAAAAAAAATTATGAAACTTGTATTGTTAAAAATGCCTTTAAACGGAAAGTACTGCGAAGTTTTATGGCAGGTGTGACTTATTTGTCAGTCAAAGAATGCAGGTTTTTAAATGTCGAGTATGTGTGTGTGTGTGTGTGTGATGGAGCACGTGTTGTTAGGACAGTGATGAGTTAGCTAAAATGAGGTATAGACCACGAGGGTCTGGTCGTTCGATATTCCAATACGATGGGATCTCACGAGACGCGAGGGAACGAAAGGGAAATAGCAGGCAGAAACAGCAGGCGGAGTAAAAGACGAGGAGACGATGTCTGATCGAGGAAAATAGCCGGTGTCAGCTAGTAGGGCCTAGTACGCGGTATATGGATATGTAAATGTATACCTGCAACCGGAAGAGTCGAATAATGACGGAAGGGAAAGTTGATAACTTAAATCAGAACCGTAATTAATGGGAACGATGACGAGGAAACTCGGTCGCGCCGGCGCTAACGAAAAAATGAGTCATGGTCGGCAACGACGATGGTGTCGACGTTCGTCATCGTTATAAGTTGAGCAGCTGATGGTAGGGGAATCCCAGGTACGGCTACACAAGGATAGAAACCAAAGGAAATGCAACGCATATTCTAGCTTCCAGACTTTCAAAATGTCTTTTACCAGATGAAGCAAAGACAGAGATTTCGATTTAAACGAATAAGAATAGTCCTTGTGAAATAATTTACTGATTCTTAATTATGCTTTTTCGTTACCATCGTTTAAGAACTTATCTATGAATGATAGAAAAAAATATGTTAATCTAGACTTATTTAAATCCGACACGACCCACGATATATCGTAAAAGATAAGAAGTGCGATTTAAGTGAGAATAGTGCTCCGTAAAGACAGAAAGCTATGATTTTGAAAGATCAAAAGGGTATTCCGAGCGATAAAAATTGCGATAAACTTGTAAGATGTAAGCCGTATATTTTAAACTGCGATCGATATTTGTTAAACGATAACTATTGCAGTTGAACGTTGTAGACGGCGTATTGCGTATGAAATAACATTTCGTATGATAAACCGTACGGTAACTTCAATTCTCATAATTTGAAAACTACTTGATCGGTTTTATGGAAATGAAACATACAAATGCTAGATAAAACTTATCTAGTGTTTACCTTCACAAACCGTGATTGATCGCATTTCTCACGATGCGCGGACTGAAGGCGCTGCGCAGCCAGTAGATATTTAGTTGTCCCTGCCGGAGCATTGAACCCCGTTCAACTCGAGGCTCTACCGCTCGACAAAGCGCCCCATTTAGACACGTTCCTGTAGCCGAGTTTGCCACGACTCAGGGCGCAAGTCTTCCTTTCGGTCGGTCTCTGTGGCAAGCATTTTATTCGATTCGCTCACGTTCGGAGACTGGTCGCAATCCAGAGCAGACAAAACCCCGGCTCTCCGTCGCACCGTTCCAACCGCGTGTTCGTCGGTGTTCCACAATGAAGAAGGTCTCTTTCTGGTGAAGTTTCGTCGTTTGTGCGATCAGCGAGTGACAGCGGTGATCAGCAATCACAAGGAATTGCTACGCAGCCAGTCAGCTAAGCAGCCAGTCAGCCTGGCCGGAGTCGGCAATTTCGGAGCTGAACTCCGAAACGACGGCGCCGCGCCGCCATTTTAGTGCGAGCACGTTTTCGCAAATTGTCTTATATTTGCACGCAGTTTGTGGTAAAAGAAGATTTTCGAGTCTGAGACGGAGAACGATCCATCTGCGAGACACAGCATCCCAGGGTGGTGGCGGCAACACCACGAATGAGCGCCGCGTCGAGAAAACACCCGCGCGCAAAGTGATTTCTCGCAGGAGAGTGGCGTTTTCTTTTCCGTTTCCTAATTTGCGGGTGATCGAAACTTATTGCGCGCCAGCGGCAACGTATACCGGCACTATGAGTAAAATGCTGGACACAAACTATCGCACTGTATTCTCTGTACTTAGAAGTCCTGAGGAGAGTGAAGAGTTTAAGCGGATCATCTGAAAAAATCGCGCCGAAAGAGAAGTCATCGTTTTTTCCGCGAGGACAATCGTATTCGCAAAAGTGTTAAATCTATTGGTGTTCGGTGTAGAGAAGTCTTTCTCCTCCTATCTCTTTATTTGTCACGCATATTTTTTATTGCCGAGAACTGAGACGTCATCGTTGACGTAATTCGCGATCTATTAATAGATCGGTGATTTCGGGAAATCTTAGAATGCACCGATTCTAATAGTATTGCGCAATTCTCATTCGTATTGATTGATTTGATCGGAGAGGAGAACTTAGTCACGCGCTAAGTGAGCTGATATCGAGTGTATCCAGTAATCTCGTCTACTTAAAAAAAGCTGAGACTATTGCGTTTCTCGCGGGGGAAAATTCCAGCGTAGTGCGCGTGTGAAAAACCGCGAGCTGTCACAATCTTTCTGCCGATCGAGATATCCCGACGGCAACCCCGGATACTCCTATAACCCGTAATGTATTTGCGATCGCGCCAACGAGCAGCACAAGGGAGGCACGAGCACATAAGAGAGGCGGTAGGAGCTGGTGTAGCGGCCGCGTGCGGTCGCAGAGATCACGGATCGTCGTCTTCGAGGGCCAAAGGTGGAACGCAGAAAATAGCGGCGAGCCGTTACCGCGATCTAGCGTTAGCACCGCAGCCGCAACCGCGGCCGCTACGAAGCGGCTCCGCAGATAGGGGCGCTTTGGACCTGGTGTACCTGAAACGCGGTATGAGCGAGGGTGAACGAGCGGCGATCACGCCACGAATCGGCTGGCGAAAGCTCACCGACCCTGGTGACTGACACGAATCCAGGAAGCCGAGGGCAGGTCCGAAGCGATAGCACCAACTACCGCTATTCGCTCATCAGCATCCTCGTTCTCCTGCCACTCTCTCGACGACCGACATCGGTCTATGGTTCTGGCACAGCCACGAGACGGCTTTCAGAGTCCGTAGGACGTCGTCGTCGTCGTCGTCGTCGTCGTCATCGTCATTGTCGCATCTCCCGTGCCAGCTTGATGCCGGCCAGATGCCGGATAACGCACCGCTAAGACCCGCTGCGAGGACCTTGAAGAGGGATCCCGAAATGGCGGGCAATCGGTGTCGGTAGCAGACGGGGTTAACGTTCCGAAGAGCGCAAAAACGTTCAAACGGCACCCACGTCGTACCTCCTAGCTCACCGATCATCTTCGGCATTCTCTCCCTCTTCCCCTTCGTCTTCGTGTTTCAATGTCCCGGCTGAATTTTTAATCATAGCTTATAACGAAACTCTGTCTCACATCGAGCGATCCGAGGTAGCCTCGAGGAGCGCCCGTATACAGACAATAATTCGTTAGGTACTAAGGCTAGTGTTAAATTACAATACGTAGTAAAAAGGACAGAGCAGATAAAGGGAAACAAAGGAGGCAGGATTCAAGAGAGAGTCTAACGGAAAAATTCTCTAATAATTACATCTAAAAATTACGATTCTCAAAAGAATTATAGAGAAGACACTCAAAACAGAGAAAAATAAAGATAAAGATAAAGATATAGAAAAACAGATACCGCATCGAGTGTAAGCACTTATCAAAGGTAGAATTCCGTTCGTTCGAGAATTTTAGTCCAGTTTCCCTTGAATCGCCTTTCGGTTGAGCTGCATTTTCTTAATCGCGAGCATGCCTCCTACGCCGAACAAGTTAAACCTGAGCTTCACCAGAAATGCTTACAGTGTTTTCGGTAGTCGCAGCGCAACTACCGCGAACGAGCATCAGCGCGAGCAAAAGACGGAATTGCTGGAGGGTAAGGAACAAGGAAGAAATATCTTTATCGTATTCTCCAAATTATTTATCACATTCTTCGTTTACCGACAAAATTCGTTTCGTGGTCATTGATACTGCTCGACATTAAATAAACGCGTTGTCCCATTCTACCTCGCTACTTTACCGCGATTATCCTCGACGATGACCGCACAATTTCCATTCTCTCTCATTCCCCTCGTGATTTGACGAGATCGGAGTTATAAAGGCCACGAGCGGCATCGTTGTCGTCAGAAACTCGGCACATTCTGCACGCGCCTCACATCGCATCATTAACAACAAACAGAATCTTACGAAACGTCGCGGAGAAAGCGTTACCCGGACAAAGTTCGCGATTGGTGAACGTTCAGTACGATCGGCATGCGAATGACCCCTCGTTGTAACGATATTGACGTCATTTCAGGTACTAGAGCCAACGGCCTTCTACATTTGAAGAATGGCGTTGATTATATCAATCCCGGTGAAGAGGACCAGATGGAAATTTACGGGTAGGTCACTCATATTGCGTATGCACATAATCGTAGATGAATTCTCCTTGAATTTCGTAATCCACTTAATTTCCGCTCATTATCGTTACAGTTATAGACGAAACCGCATGCGGACCGTTATTATCTGGTTCCTGATTATCATTACCGGAGGCTTCCTGAGGCTGATATTCCATTGGGTCCCACGTCTCATGCTTTTAGCCACTCATACCAAGTGCTCTTTGGAAGAAGCGGAAACCGTTTTGTTGATCGAGAAATTTCAAGGAAAACACACGAGTCATTACGTGAAGAAGTTGAGGATTTTGACCGCTCAGGAGATTATGTTAGTAATCTTTTCAATGCATCTTGTAAACGTCAACACCATCAACGAAATCGCGATATCGTTAGTTAATATTTTATTCCACAGTAATAAATCTTTCCAAGAAGAATCTCTAATCGATGAAGCATGGGACGGGAGTGTAATAACCGCCAGAGAGGAGAAGGAAACCTCCCCGATGTTGTCCGTGCATCTTTCCGGGGGTCAATTCAAACGTGAGTGAATCAGTATATGCTTCTTGAGATCTGTGCGTTTCAAATATAAAATAGTTTTATCACGAGAAAATATTTTTAGAGGTGCCATCCATAACCATCTTCAATTGCAAGAAGTTGACCTACGTTTGGGACCCGGAAAGATCGGAATTCTTGAAACTGCGTGGCCTCGACACCGACGTTCTTACGTCCACGTTACATCAAGCACAAGGTCTCAGTTCTCAGGAGCAGTACATGAGGTAAAAAAGTCGAACAATTCCAACGTTTTTTTAACGGGAACTTGGCGTCATAACGCATCAATTATTATAATTAATTAACTGGACGATTTACATCGACAGGCGCAACGTTTACGGCAACAACGAGATCGTGATTCCCGTGAAAAGCATATTCACGTTACTCTGCCTCGAGGTGCTCAACCCGTTCTACGTCTTCCAACTATTTAGTTTTTGTCTGTGGATCGCAGACGACTATTATTACTATGCCATGGTCATTCTCACGATGTCAAGCGCCGGAATTATAATGGCAGTCTTCCAGACGCGACGAGTGAGTCACTTCTCCTTTTTTTTTCTAGTTGTAATTTCGTGTCATGATTAAACTGATCGAATTTTGTTCTTCTTAGAATCAGCATAATTTGCGCTCGACGGTGCATTCGTCCGATGTCGCCACGGTCATGCGAGATCGTACGACCAGTCAAACCGCAATAGTGCCGACCGAACGTTTGGTACCCGGTGACGTCTTGGTCATTCCATCTCATGGATGCCTAATGCCATGCGATGCCGTGCTGTTGACCGGCAACTGTATCCTCAACGAGTCCATGCTGACGGGAGAATCTGTACCTGTCACGAAAACGCCAGTTCCTTCTTCCAACGATGTGATATATAATACCAAAGAACATGCTAGGCATACGCTTTTCTGCGGTACCAGAATTATACAGACAAGATACTACGGTAGTGAGAAGGTAAACTTCACAGATATATTTTTCATTTTTATATTTTAATTTTTTCTAAATGTAAATAATTGTGCTGTGGCGTTAGGTATTGGCTGTGGTCATCAGGACAGGTTTCAATACCAGCAAAGGAGATCTTGTGCGATCCATCATGTATCCCCCGCCCGTGGATTTCAAGTTTGAACAGGACTCGTATAAATTCGTTATATTGTTAGCGTGCATAGCCAGCATCGGCGTCGTTTACACAATCGTGACGAAAATAATGAGAGGCGTTCACGGCAGTCATATTACTCTGGAAGCATTAGATCTCATCACTATTGTAGTGCCACCGGCATTACCAGCTGCCATGACGGTCGGACGTCTCGTAGCACAACGTAGATTGCAAAATAATAAAATATACTGCACGAGCCCGAGAACGATTAACGTGTCAGGATCCATCGATTGCATTTGCTTCGACAAGACTGGAACGTTGACCGAAGACGGTCTGGATATGTGGGGTGTGGTGAGCGTATCTGACGGAAAGTTTCAGTTGCCTGTCAAGGACATCGCTAGTCTGTCGTTGTCCGAGGTTCTTATCGGCATGGTTACATGCCACGGAATCACGATAATCGACAACCAATTGGTAGGAGACCCGCTCGATCTAAAAATGTTTGAATCCACTGGATGGACGCTGGAGGAACCTGATGTATCCGATACATCTAAATTCTCCATGCTTTTTCCGACGATCGTTAGGCCAGCAAAGGATTCCAAGCTTCTCAAGAAACTGCCCAACGATTTGGGCGGTACGCTCAGTCGACAAAACTCCGTGTCTTCCGACGTAATGGACGGAATATCTCTCAGCAACCTCCACGACGCTACGTTCGGTGATTCTTCGACGGAACTGGAACAAGGACTGGAAGTGGGCATTGTCCGGCAATTTCCCTTTACATCGAGTTTACAGAGGATGAGCGTGATCACCAGGACATTGGGCGCCAATCACTATGAACTTTATTGCAAGGGTAGTCCAGAGATGATCCTCAGTCTCTCAAGAGCAGAATCTAGTAAGTTTTTACGATTGCATAATTCAGTGTAATTTTAATTAGTTATCTAATTTTATTATTTTAATTTTATTAAAATAATGATATCTCTACTTGTTTTTTTTTTTTTAGTTCCTTCAGATTTTGCGGCCGTTCTACAAGAATACACGTCCGAGGGATATCGAGTAATCGCCCTCGCGCACAAATCTCTGAACCGTCTTCCGTATGCCAAAGTGCAACGCATAAGTCGTGAAGCCGCCGAAATTGATTTGACATTCTTGGCGCTTATAATTATGGAGAACCGACTGAAACCCGAAACCTCACCAGTGATCGCCGAACTGAACACCGCTTGCATCAAGACGGTGATGGTGACGGGCGATAATATGTTGACCGCACTCTCTGTGGCTAGAGATTGCGATATTGTAAAGCCAGGCACGCCGGTTGTCGCCGTCTCGACGAATCAGCAGAATCAGCTGAAACCGCAAATCTATTTCACGAAGAGCGATAGTCAACCATCACCGACTTCACCGAACGGTCAGCCCGATCTCAGCGAAATGACCGATTTGAACAGCGTGGTTAGCTTGGAAACCGTCGAGAGCGGCTCTTTCGGCAACACCAAGTTGGAGGACGATATCAATTATTTATCGGACGAGTAAGTATTTTTCAGCATCGCGAAATCTATTAAAATAAATAAATATATATAATAATAAAACTTACGATTTATCTGATAATTGCAGTGTACAATACCTAAAGAATAAATACGTATTTGCATTGACGGGAAAAACGTGGGCGTTGATGAAGCAGTATTACCCAGAACTAATACCCAAAGTGGTCACCCGCGGTGCCATTTTCGCAAGAATGTCGCCCGATCAGAAGCAGCAGTTAATTCAAGAACTACAGTCCTTAGGATACTACGTTGGTAAGTGCGAACATAAAAGAAAGCCTATGTTCAAAAGTACAACGCACCTTTAATGGAACGACAAATAAATGTGATAACTCGCAATAAATCTTAATAATCTGATACAAGATTTCTTTTTCCGCAGCCATGGTGGGAGATGGTGCTAACGATTGTGGCGCGTTGAAAGCGGCGCACACCGGGATATCCTTATCGGACACGGAATCTTCCGTCGCATCGCCCTTCACCAGTCGCGAAACCAACATCTCCAGTGTTCTAACGGTGATACGCGAGGGTCGCGCCGCGCTGGTGACCTCCTTTGGCATTTTCAAATACATGGCTTCCTACTCGCTCACTCAATTTATCTCGGTGATGCTCCTCTACAGCATTGAGTCGAACTTGACGGACATCGAGTTTCTGTACATCGATCTCTTCATCATTTCCATATTCGCTTTCTTCTTCGGTCGCACCGGGGCTTATGAGGGCCCGTTGGTAAAAATGGCGCCGCTCAACAGCCTCATTAGCACATCGCCAATACTCAGTTTGATCACCCAACTTCTAATCGTCGCAATTTTCCAATACACAAGTCTCTGGCATCTGCGTCAGATGCCATGGTTCGTGCCATTCAACCCAACCGCAACTGAGGATAAGGATGACGTGGGTTGCATGGAGAATTACACGGTCTTCATCGTCAGTTCTATGCAGTACATCATTCTGGCGGTAGCGTTCTCCAAAGGACCACCGTACAGAAAGTCTCTCTTCACCAATTACGGCCTACTCACCTCCTTCGTTTTCCTTAGTCTCTTTTCCATTTATCTCGCGATATGTCCCTTCGAATGGCTAACTACGTGGTTCCAGCTCGTTCTGCCCAACGATCTGGGCTTCCGTTTCGTTCTAGTTGGCTATGGCGTGGTAAATTTCGTGATTGCGTTACTGATTGAGTATATCTTTGTGGAGTATCTTGTGTTCGGCAAGTTGCGCTATCGCTGGCACGACGTGGATAAATCTCGACGGAAGTTCCTAGCCATCGAACGAGACATGGCGCGCGATTCCAAGTGGCCGCCGATTTCCCAGGAGCCACTTCCGGAAGTAGCGCCGAATTTATTAATTCGGCAGAATGTCACCGAGATCAAAATTGAGAAACGGATCACCGAGTCATGCCTTCCCGCCGACACTAGCTTCATGAATACCTCGCCGATTTGCGCCGGTTTCAAACACTTCGGCTCCGCCCGCGAAGTTACTCTCAATCCCAGATCCCTCTTCGACGATTGTCGAAACACAGTGTCGATGCAGACGGTGCCGTGCTTCGAGGACAAGGACTTGTCGACGAAACAACCAGATGCGGAAACTAAAGTAAAACGACGACACAATTCGGAATCGGCAAATGGCATCAATCGCTACGAGAAACCCTACATGAATCACAATACCAATCCCATTGCCACGCTTCCCAGAAATCCTAACGCAACCCCTCAACCGCAGAAGCTGAGAGACTTCAAGGATGTCTTAGTGCACAAGAGCGACGATCGAGTGTCCAACACCAAGAACGTGCTTGAATTAGATATCCTGCCGTCCTGAGGTTCAAAGCACTCGAAAGATCGGTCGAGAGGTAGCTGAGTACCTTGAAATCAATCCAATAGCTAATTAATTCAGAATATTATTCAATCTTCATTTCTAATCGACGCATTTAGGGCATCGAAGCGATAATTATACGATCGATATGAGGCATAATCTGAAAAGCCCGGATCTTTGACACAGCAATTTCGTGTTTTAAATGCCTGATGCTCTTGTAATCTCAATTTTCGATAAGCTCTCCTTCCATCCGGTATTTGTGATAGCCAGAATACGTATTTGATATCATTAAGATGATGATAATTCGTTTTATGTAAGAAGTGAATGGCGCCCGACTTGAATTTCATACTTGATCAGGCGATTTCTGTGAGTCGATGTGTTTAGTCAGTAATAGTATCCACTACTTGGGGATTAGTGACGTTACTTAAACTATGTAGGAATAAACCGGACATTAGAACAGCATTAAAGCTGTTTAGTCATTACTTGCGATCTCTCGCTATTTAATTAGACTTTATCATTTCATTATTCTTTTGTAGAACGGCTCCTCTTTCGCTTGGAAGTAATTATAATATTTAATACGTAATTTGTTGCATATTTGCGTATGTAATTTATTACATTTATCAATATGTAATTTATATAATTATTATTTAATTTCCTAATCGTATAAATCGCTTTCTAACTTAGGATTATTTATATTTCGACTCAGGCCAGGGTCCCTTTTGACCCATTCCTCCTTTATGCCCTAGTCCTCTTCCTCCTTTCTTTTATTAGAATCCGGAAGCAGAAAAGTATTATTGTTATTTATCTTCGAAAACGAGAAATTGTAAATTGTATATTGTATATTGTATGATATGCAAAGCAGAATCCTCTGGACGGAGCGTAGGGTATTATGTTTTAAAGATCTAAATGTTTACGACAACATTTAGCCCATGATCTTAAAGTGAAGCGTGAACTTCGAGAATAAGTCAGCGTGATAATATCTTTTTTCACTACGATTCGAACGAATACTTAAGCTAACTTGCGACTTACAATTAATCCTCCAAAGTACGTTTAGCTGGCACGAAATTGACATTAACTATCTGGCCGCTATTTCCCGACTTGTTTCCCCGATGCATTTTTTATAGCCCCGAGTTTTATTTGTATTTATTCAAATAGCATGATTGTACATAAGTAATTTATATATAGCGCATAACATATGCGCATTGCATTTTAAGAAACGATAAGATTCGAGAAATAATTAGGAATGATGATTGTGGCTCAATGTGATTGTGAAATTGATTCGTTGCTAATATTGTTAAACGTTCATCTCGAAAGTCATTCCACGATGAAAAATTTGACTTGAACTAGAAATGATGTTGTGCGAGGAGTTTGGTGACATATTTAGGCGTATTACATTAAGTAATGGAATTATCTTGAATATTATGCGACGTTATAAAATAGGCTAAACCGACAGCGATAAACTATTGTCGCTACTCGGAGCCGATTACGTACTGTTAAACAACTAGGTATATCAAGATAAAAAAAATATGTACTTACAAAATATGCGCAACGGATATAGATACTTAATTGCGTTGGTTTACCTACGACGCTACAGTTCGTGTTGAAAAGTAGCGGTAGTCAAATAAAATATGTTTTTAATGTAGACACTGTTTATTCATTTCATCGTTGCTTTTTCTGTAGCGTAATGAAAGGGAATCACAGTGACACTAAAATAAGTTATTTTATATTATATCTGTTACTTTGGTAATATAGTCTCAAATTATAATTGTAATATTATACATACATATAATTATTATAGAATTAATTAAGAATATTGAAATTGTTTGAAAAAAATAATGCAATCAATAATAAAATCAAAAACAAAGTATTTATTAAGCGCAAATTCATACGCATATCATACACGCTTAATTTACAATACATTCACAACGTTATAATTACAACACACTTGCGCCACCCGCTTGTGTCAATAGAGATACTTATATAATATCATATTACACTTAATAGGGAACGTCAAGCCTTTACTCACTTTCGAAACAATATTAACGGAAACACGAAATCGCTTATTACGAAAACGTCTACGACACGTGGATTTCACCCTAAATTACTTTTACATTCCCATAAAATAAAATGGCTTTAATTTCGCTAGACATGGTCCGTTCTCTCGAAGTCAATTAAAATTAATTCCTTTCGTTAAACGCTTTTGTCTTCGTGTCACACTGATTTCTCAAACGTGATTTAAACCTCGGAAATCATTTCCCGACACGAAGGATGCCCGAACTTTGTGTCATTCAAAAGTTCGCGGCTCAAAATTCTCAAGATCCTTCTGAGAATAATTCTCCCGCGATTGAGGACGCGCTACGAATTTATGACATATGTAATCCAGTCAACGGTCTTGGCTACGCGATGATAGATCCCCGGTTGACCTGGTTGCGCGCAGGAGTAACCTGCGGAGACGATGCCGATGAGATACCATCGACCAGTTTTCTCCAACATCAACGGACCTCCACTATCACCCTGAAAATTAAATGGCTTTCTCATATTCCTGAAAAAACATACTGGAGAAGAAGAGACAGAAGAAGAAGAGGAACAAGGGAACGGAACGACGATTCATCGTTCAAACAGTACACACCCACGATGATGAAATCGCTTACCTGACACGAATCTTTACCGCCGCCACGGTAACCGGCACACATCATCTCGTCATAAATGACGACGTTGATGCCATTGGACCGATGCCACCGCTCGCAGAGGCGATTATCGATCACGGGCACGTCTACAGCCTGCAACGTCTTGGGTCGCAATCTAGAACCTAAATAAAGTAATTCGTATAATGAGATAAATAGCTGACAAAAATATATAACAAGATTTTAATTATCTATAGCAAATTAATATTAGAGTTGAGTGTAGGATACTTATTTTTCCATTCAAATTTATGTGTGCGTATGACTCAATGTTTGTTGTATTAATATTGCAAGAAATCATATATTCTGGTAATTGGATCCAGATAAGGCGAGAGATGAAATTTAAAATTATATTAATGGATAAGTATAACACAATTTTTTCACAAGTAAAACGCTACCTGCTTGTAAAGCACCCCATCCCGCGGCCCAACCATATTGTCCCAGAAAATCTTCGTTTTTCTCCGGTAGACATATAGGCGCTATATGAGGCATGTAATGAACCGGTCGATCCAATCGAAGCACAGCCACATCGAACCTGATAAACAACAATGAATATGGGAGATGTGAAATCGCGACAAAGTTTACTCTATTTAGCGCTGACAGATGTGCATTCGAAGTATTCATATTTTATTTATAATAAACTAGTAACACATGCGAACGTACCTGTCCGCCTGTGGCGTAAATTTGAAGTAAGGGTGTACTCTGATCTCTCGAACCCCAAAAGTATAAGCTGGCAGAGATTCACTCGCGGAATTCACTACATAATCGCCGAGGGTGACCTGGACTTGTCGCGCCGACGCTCTGACATTCAAACAATGTATTAAATATTCTAATTAGCATCAACTTATATTTACAGCTTAATAATTGCATGTATGTAAAACAAACATATATGCAGACAGATTATTTCTCACTCACTTCGCAACACAGTGCCCAGCGGTGACAACGTGAAACCGATTGACCAAAGTACCGCCGCATCTACTGGAACCGATCCGTATGTACGCCTATTAAAACAAGAAATTAATTTTAACGATAAGTTCGAAAGCCGAGCAAAGGTATCTAGCATTGCCATCGTGTCTCACCTGCCACGGGAAACTGCCAAAGCCGGCGTCGTCGCCGCCGACAATCCTCCTCTGCGCGATTTGTTTCGAGACGACCGGTATGCCGCAACCTGTAAAACGCAATTGCCTGGATTCGCATGCAATTAAAGTGTCGCCGTTATAATTATATATAGCGTGGCTGTCGGGTCTAATTATTTGGCGTGACGAATTGCGCTAGAGTTGCCAAATTTTCCTTTCTGAAATAGAACGTAGGTGTCAAGTAAATTAATTCCGGAGGAACGGTAGAACTCTTGTAGACAGTAATTGTAGTAAAATAAAACAAATAAGAATCCTCAAATATTCTATGTGTACAGAACATCTGGCAATCCTAACTGTGTGCCACAACCTGTGATTACAATAACGCACAATGACGCTTAAGCGCAGTTCCATAACAATTAACGCCTTTGGAGTCGAACACGCGAACTGTCGAAGGCATGGCATGCAATCGACAGCGACAAAAAAGTTTCTTCTCCGTTCTTCTCTTGCCGAAATTGGACTTGGAGTAATACGATGATTTTTTTAATAGCTTCTTCTATCCGATTTCAATGTTGGACCCTGGCCTGCATTGCTCGTAACCAAGTAATTTCAACGTAATTGAGTAATTCTCAGCGTTACATTGATCACTTACTCAAACATTACCCGACAGATAAAAGAAAAACATTATTCATGATTGTTCATACAAGCCCTTAAGTCAAAGCTGTTGATAAAAAAAATTTCGATAAGAGCATAAGCGTAGATTGATATATAATATATTATAAAATCAATAGTTTGAAATTACTTTCCTTGACAATTATTATGATAATTATTTTACGTAACCATACATGTGTAAACATGCGACACCGTTATTTCTTGAATCAAAATCTTTTATATTCGTTAGATTACTTGAAACTACAAAGGATATTACAAAGATGTTTTTTTTTAATTATAATTAGTCGCTGACAAATTCATGCGCTTATTAGTGTATCGTTTTATATAAAATGATCCCTTATGAAAAACGGTTGTTGACGAATGCAGTGAAGCGTTTTATCACGTAGATTATGAGAAAGAGACGGAGCACGGATTGCCAAAGTTTTATGAGCCGATGGCGATGCAGAAAAACACGTTTCACCATTTAGAAAATTAATCCATGAACGACGACAGCTGTTATGATATCTACATCCATTCGCCTGCTGCACTTTCTACCAATTTCAAGAGTTTGTATTATCCCTTTGTAAGAATTGATCTACGATTTCTATCGTGTAGCTGTTCATTCATTAATTCAGCAAGGATAGTACTTCTTCGTTGAAGCGGACACTTGATTTTGACAAGACCGTTTTTATCTCGTGGTGAAAAATGCAAAGGGACCGAGATCAAGGAGACGGGCATTCATAATCGTTAATAGGCATTTATGGGAATTTAGACGGATAATTGTGCGGAAAACACAATGTTACGATACTGATAAAAATCATTTTCGGACAACCATGCATGGGAAGATAGAAATTCATGCGATTTTATTTAATATGCTTGGATATTATATCACGTGCATGCAAATCAAGAAAACGGAGAAGGCCAAAGGAATATAAAATATGTGTATGTCAAAGAAAAAAGAATTGTGATATTAAAAGAAAAGAAAAGATTCAAGACGATAAATGGGAAGCATCCGGTAAGGAAACTGTGCAATTTCTCGGGTGATAAACGGTGTGTGAAGAAGAAGTGGGACCGAGTGCGTGCTTGGAATACACGCGAATGTGCGAAGTGTGTGAAATAGTCTTGAAATAATTAATGAAGAGAAAAACAATCGACAGGAAATTGGTGGAAGGTAAAAAGAAAAAAAGAGAAGAATAAAGAGACAAAGTAGATGTCATGCTTTCAAGTGCGGTGCTATAGAGTACGGACGGCATGCTTTTCGAAGGAAGGACTTACGATCGTCGCTGGCGGTCTCCGTGTACAAATCCAGCGGAAGCGGCCGAGATTGATCTCTAGGCGACTCGATCAGGTTATAATCAGTGAGAGCTTTAGGGTCTTTCCGCTGACAACACGCGTACATAATGCCACCGCAGCTGCCGTCCAATAGGCCAGCAGTCATCCAGCACATAAGAAAAAATTCGCAGCTCCGTCCGTCCGCGCACAATGTATCGTCGCCTTTCCACAGCGGTCTTTTTTGTTGGCGCGTCTCTGCAGAAAATATGGAAACTCTTGTCTTCCGCGACTGTCAAGTTACGTAGGTAATCGTCCTGAGTGACTGTCGAGCTACTTATGAGCGGCGCGACCGCATTTCCGTCCGGTCGAAGAGGAAATAAGATTCGCAGTTCGCAAGAAGATTCGCAGAAAGGCATCATTGTGGTTACTAATCTAATATCAATCTATTTAACTGTATTAGCCGAAAATAGAAACGATTCCAATAGAACGTAATTCTTCTCATAATCAGAGACATTGTTAAAAATTAAAAAATTATCAATATTAATTAATTAACTATAGACATAATTGTAACTATTATATATTAATACACATTGAATAACACGTGTAACCCTAATGCTAGTACAAGAAATTGAAACTCTTTACAGAATGCAAATCTTTCTGATCAAGTTTCTACTCCAATTACTAATGCTCAATGCAATTATCAATTAGTAATAATAGAAGGAAAGAGGTCGCTCTTCTTACTTCGCCGATTACTCCAAGTCTAACTTCGAAAGACGAAATGCGAGTTAAAATCCAGGAACTGGTTTAAAGCTAGCATCGTAGTAAAACAAAAGAATATATTACAATTTTAACCATTTGATCCTTACTTTAATTAAAGACTACATTTTAAATTAAATTTGCATAAATTATTTGAAAAATATAATTTTGGAAAATCTAAGAACATAGGTATATCTACTTTCATTCCAGCAGGATCATTGTAGTTAAAATCGTCACATTAAGATTACTATAGAATTGTAACTCAATCCGATCAAAAATAGAGTATTGAATAGAAAAGGATTAAACCGATTTTGCTGGAATCTATTAGGATAAAACTGTTCAAGGTAAGTGTAAAAAAGTATCGACATGGTAATATTAACCGTTTCTCCGACAGACTTTCTATAGAGAAACATTTGGGCAATCGTAAAAGGACCTCGTACCAGTTCAGCGTGACAACGATCTACCGTCCGGCGGCAAAGCGCGACGTCGACGATGTCGTAACGATTTCCGTGTCTTGGACCACGACGGAAGTCGTCGACTGTAATGGAAATAAGTTTCGCGCACCATTAAGAAGACGTTGCGCGACTAAACCGTCCGATTTTTACGAGTTTACGCGAGAGGACGAAGTTACCAAGGCGATCAAGTAAACCGACAACTAAGCAGAAATCGCGAACTTGTGGAAGGCATTGAAAAATTCCAGAAGTAACACGTCATTACGGCTAATTCGAATTTTGTGATTCCGCTGACAAGTTGCACGTACCTGTTTCCAATCTGGGGTAATCATCCGGCGTCTGTTTCCGGAGATCTGAAATAAAGATAAGATGCTATTCTGGAAAAGCGCAATTATCGAAAAAACTGTTTCCTACAAAAAAATAAAACCGTTCAATTTTAGTAAAGGAAAAATGCATAAAAATCTCACATAGGATCTGCATAAGGATTGAATTATCTAAAATTAGAAAAAAATATCGACACAAGAATTAATTAACTCCATTCATAACTGTTTAAGATTTAAAAAATACCGTCTGATATTTTACGTACACGCGCGGTCACTATTTATAATAATAAATTAGTGATTATTACGGTTTGTTGCGCTGGCATTACACATTTTATGCGCTTATATGCTCGCGAGTTAGTTCACTCGCTCGCGCCGGAGATAAGTGTCGGTTCGTTTACAATTGAAATGCTTCGAAAGTTTCATATAATACCTCATTTGCATTTGCACGCTTCTCTAAACACTTCAAAGCGCCGATGAAGCGCTATTTGCACAGCAAACCGAATTACAGAAGTGACGGGATTACACGAGCGCACGAAGAAAAGAAAGAAAGTAAAAGGGAAATGTATTTATTTTGCATTCAAAAAATAATGAGCAGCAATAAATACAAGCCTGAAACGTTTCAATATGTCTAAGTATAAGTTTCTAACCCATAATTTCTAATACTGCATTTAAAGTATCGAGAACATGATTTATTGACATGCACGATTTTAAATATTAGAAATTATATGCAATTTATAGTTTGCCAATAAGTTATAATAGAGATAAAAAATATAATCTTACCTCTAATGTCATCTTCGAAATCTGGCAGCTGATTAGATTGCTGGAAAAAAGATCCCGCGCCGCCTCCGATTGGCGGCAGGAAATCGTTGTCGCGAAATATCAATCGCGGCGTCCGATGGGACATCACCGGTCTATTGTAATCGGCGATCGTGGGAGTTCCCCAAAGAGATTTGTGCTGCCTCCACGAACTGGGGAATTGAGCCTGAGGAACGAAACGCGCGACCGGATGTGACCCAAGGTTCCTGCCGTGGGGTGATATCGGACCACTCTCGAGGAGATAAGCAGATCCCGTCGGATATCGTACGTATCTCCGCCGGCGGATTGCCACGAACCCGGTACGATTGGATCTCCCCCCATCTCTTCGCACGTCGATAGCCGAGAAATCGGAGTTCCTGAAGCGCCGCACCTCGCTCGCCATCAAGCTCGAAAAAAGACTCAGGACGACTGCAGCGAAAAGCCAATGACGCGGCCTCGATGCACCCATCGTTTTACTGAAGGATTAGAAATTATTGCTCAAGATCAAGTGCTCATTAAACTTTAAAAAATTAAATAACATATAACGCATAATATAAATTATTATTTATAAAAAGATTTATTGTAACAAGATGTATTTTGCATATATTTTATATTTCTAAACGGTATCAGGTAAGAGACGCGCGTCTGAGCGATCTTTCCGTATGCTATAATATTTGAATCCTAGACAATCTGTCACCACTCAATTCAGAACCGAGGATTTTCTCCTCGGAGTTTCACGAGTCGTTAATCATCATCGGGCGCCATATTAGAACTGATTCCTAGCGAAAGGAAATGCACATCGAACTCGCAGCCAAGTGGAATCGTCGATGATTCTGGTCCAACTTCGAGGAATGCCACGCTACTCGTACTCACATAATTATCGGTTCACACAAACAGCGGTTTTGCGGTGAATCGAAGAACTTTCTTTTGGCACTGAACCGTCCATGAACACATGTTCTCGTTTATGAAACGATAAAAATGATGTAGAGGTAGATAACGTGGGATGTTTTTAGAAGATGAGAATTTTTAGGGATTATTTTTCTTTTCTATTTACTGATAATTTTTTTTTTACTAAGCTCCTCCAAAATATAATCTACAATCGCTCGTAACGAAAAGTGTCTTCGATCTTCAACATCTTAGCAAAGAATGAACCATTGTTTCTTTTAAATTTAGATTTTGTTATCTGCAATTTAGAGTTGACAACTAGATCTTATATGACTCAACGCATGGAGGCAAACGAAACAAAGTGGAAAACAACTTCCGCGTGAATTCCTCTTGACAGGACGGGGACAAAATCCCGTTTGCGTCACGCTCCTTCGTAACGAGTGAAAGTAAAGAGGTTCACCCGGAACCAAAGATCATGGCATTTATACATGAGAAAGATTCACCAAACGTGCTTAAATTCACCAACATCTCTGTCGAATGAAACTATCGCCTACGAACGGCATTAGTGAGAGAAAACGACGTGCTAAAAAAAACTTTAGCAAGGCTTCCTCGTACATTAGGCTTCCTCTAAGGCCTGAAACTTGTAAATCTCTATTTTTAACCGCTCATGTAATTAAAACATTAGTGCATCAGCTTCTTAAAAAATAATTAATTTTGTATTACTTAAATAATCAGTAGATTCTTATTATAAGGATAAAAATATAATAAATGGATTTTTTCCAGATAGATTCTTTCAAAAACCAAATGTTCACGCGCCTTTGATTGATATTGATTGATCGTTACCTCATGTTTGGCAGACAAATCGAGAGCAGCTATCAAACCGTTAGAAATGTTAAAAAGGAAAATAAAAGGGGAAGGATATAATTGTTCGTTAAATAATCTTGATGGACGGCCTTGCCGGGCCAGGGCCAATCGTGGCAGAAAAGATCAACGGTTCGATGTGTTAGTAGGTCATTGGCTCTACGTCGCGTGGATCCACCAGAAGTGAAAGTATACGTCTTGCGTGCACGACAGTGTGAAGTTCACGTTCACGCAGTGCCATCCGCCGCCCCGACGACGGAAGTTACAAATCGCTGCTCACATCGTTCTTCAAAACCTCCCACCTTTTGTTCCCTCTACTTATTTCCTTTGTTCCCTGCGAAACGCCACGCGAATGCACGCGAATCCGTTGCACACGATGATTTTCACCGTGAAAGTGTTCGATTACTATAACGTGATCCCCTTTGCCCAGATCTTTAACTTGCGTTTCCCGACATTATTGTTTTTCTTTCTCTCGCGAATTACAGATAACGAAATGCTATGATTTTCTTTTTAGATTTCCAGCTCCGTCAAGCGTATCTCAATGGATGTAAAAGACAGATAAAAGTGTATTAAATTGTGAAATCGAGCTGTAATGTTGAACACGCATTCTGTGTATACTGACATATTATATACGTTATACTGCTTTTCTCTCTCAATGCTAAATACTTTGCTAATAATTTAGTCAAATTTGTTTTTGTTACTATTAATATTGTTACACTTCACCCTTTAATTCATTAAAGATTAAAGACAATTAATTTTTGCAACAGTTAATGAAATCGCTAATTCTGTATCATCAGTTGTTTACCGCGTCCGTTTTCAGCTGTCAGTGAAAGCACGTATGTATATGCAAGCACCCACATGGATCGGATCTCCGATCACATCCCTTTTCTTTTCCCGTGCGGTCCACGCGCAGCCCGCGCGATGCGGCATATCGAATTCCGTATGTGAATCAACGTTAAGAACATGAAGACCTATCACTTTCTCCTGGCGTCGCGCAGGAGCTCGCCATTACTTTCGCCCAAATCGAAGGATAATTATTCTCTCGTGCACGTTTCGCTGAGCTAGGATACGATTTTCCTTCGACGCATCGCATACACCCTAATAGCTAACAACAATAGAATCGGCCAAGCATTACAGAGAAAAGCTTTGCACGCGCCGCCGAGCCACGACGATAATGTCGACGATAATACACATACGCATCCGGAATTATATAATATAACTAAATAATATCGCTGAAAAATGAAGCGCATTACATCGTGCGCGCGTTATTAAGCGTATCAGTGGTATCTATTACCGGCGCGGAATTAATTTTCCGTATAATGCATAAGAGAATAATTCAGAATTCAATATCGAAAAATATTATATTTCAAAATTGTGTATTTTATATACTTCAATAAGTACTCTAATCATTACACGTATCTAATGAAGATCATATAGCCGAGGTTCTCCGTAATGATAGCAATAATATGCAATGTTGGAATTTACAATTATTTAAGTACGTTTCCAGGATCATTTCACTTTTCACTTGTCGCTCTAATTCCGCCATAATTTTTTTTCTTATAAATCAACAATTATTAAACTGTCATATTTAATTACCATTTAGATAGTAGCTAACTCTTAATGTTGCTGATAATATACTCTAGCTGTATAAAATGTAGACCGAGCTTCAACCTTCAAATTCACGTATATCGAGTGAAAAGATTCCTTATCTACCAATCGCTCATTCGTTGCTGTAATCGCACCGGATATAGCATATGTGGCAGCTTTTGTTCTTTTTCTTTTCTCTGCCGAAGCAAAAGATTGAGAAACCGCAGGTAAAAACCTTGAACGGACCCCGATATAACCCGATATAGATATTCGAAATTCGTCTTTGTGCTTAATGTGTTTCGAAAACACATCCGAGTTTCCTTTCGGAGGATAGAAACCGGTTTCTTCTCCGAAGAAATCTTGACGTCGCAACTGCTGATCTTATTCACGGCCTTGAAAAGAGTAAGCATTTTCGCGGTCTAATTCACCGATATCATTCGTGACGAACACTTTCCATTGTGTAACGAATCTTTTCTCGTTAGCGGCTTCGTTTCTGGGCCATTTTCAGGCTCGGAGATGATGGATGTGCAATAACAACGAGCAATTGCTTTTCAGCGAACAATTATGTAAAAACCGCGTACCGAAGGAGAAAAATCAAAACAACGATTAATCGAAATATTTCTATTGGTTGTTTGCTTTGTGGAGAACTGCAAGATATATACTTGCTCTCACGACGCGACGCTTAGAAGAGTTGAATGACTAGAGTTAAAAGCCTACTCGTCCAACGACTCTTCGGAGCCCACGTTTCTCTCTTTAAGACTTCTATCAAATTCTGTTACGTAAACCACGAGAAGTGTTTGGGCAACGCGTGTACAACGGTACCGAAGCGTGCATCCTCAATGCGACGTCGCGTTTCGTTTTGAGAAAGAACGGAAGTACTTTCACTGCCTACGAGGATGGCAGTTTAAAAAAACCTTCTCTGAGGCGCCATGTGACGCGAAATTCGTGCTTTAAACCGGCGATCACGCGCTCTTGCAAAACCGTGTCTTCTTTCCGAAATCAGCGAAACTTTCTTTTCGTATAAAATTAAGGAAAATGTACTGCTCTCGTGACTGTTTGTCGACCGCCATTTTGTATCTTTGAAACAAATATCTGTATAAATCGTGTTAATTAATGCAATTGCTTGATAAAGTTGGAGTATGCAGGTGAAATCTCCGCGCGGGAGATTTAATAGACAATCCAGTCACGTAAAATCAATTATTTAGTTATAAGAAGACTTTTTTAAAACCAATTTTAGTATAATTACAAATTATCTAAAATTGATCTTCAATTGAAGCATTCTTTTCTTGACAGCCTTCTATTATTAAGCCTATTATTAAGAAACCACTAATATAACGATTATTAAACTTAATATCATATTATGTTGAAATCCAAGTTGAGAATCTGACACCGATTGCTTCCATGCATCAAAATCACCGCACGCACCGGCTTGCGCTTTTCGTTTAACACACTTTTTATACGTAAGAAACGGCTGATAGCCTCTCTTTGGAAAGATAGGTGCTCTCCACGAAGCCGATCTTGCTTTCTCCTCGCTTTTATAGTAACTGTCGTTTAATCACACATTAAGCTTAATGAAACAAAACGAAACTGAGCATTCCGTTCTGCGTGCCTTCATCCATCGCGCCGATTCAGACAATAAATCGAATAAATTTGATCTGCTTTGAGATGTGTTCTCTGTGTATGCGATTTATCGTTCGTACAATTAAGCGCGCGAAGAAACGCCCCGGGAGAAAGTTTTCATTTTCGAAATTGAGTTAATCACTTTATGCGGACCAACTTGTATTGTTAAAAAAAAAAAGAAGACACATGTTTCTGATCGTGAGATAGATCTTTCAGTACGTTGCACTATGTGTTTTAGAAAACACCTGCCTCTAATACTGTTTCTCCGTGATAATGAACTATACATTATAATGACGATCTCAAATAAACCTCAAATTACATCTTGTTACAAAAGTGCACAATCTTTTCTCCTTCAAATTGTTTTCTCTCTGCTAAATAAGTAATATTCCCCTGCTCCAGTTTTAAGAAGTATTTTCTAATCTTCTTCACACCAAAGCTACAGTGTTCATTAAATTTTGTTTCTGTCTAATTCATGAGAACTATTCCCAGATTCCGCGCGTATTTTTTTTTTTTTTACATCAGCGTTTTAAGATTAGAAAATAGAAAACGCGAGAAATAAAATAGACCATTCTACGAGAGGGGGAGACAAATCGGCGTGAGACTGCACTCACCGATTCACCAAACGTGACCTTCCCGGATTTCTCCTCGGCTGATCGAAGCAATGCGAGCGATTTCTCAAGGGGAACCCACCAGGGCACTACTCCTGCCGCCCTCTCTTCTGCGACCTCTTCGTCTGCCTCGTATGACCGAGGTAGTCCTCAGCACCATAACACAATTGAAGGTACCGTCGCGACGGGTGGCTGTTTCGAAGAATATCACCGCAAGATATTCTTCGTCGTTGATTATCCTCCAATTCCACGATCACGTCTCACGAAACGCCCGTGCACTCGCGATTTATATATCCAGAATAGCGAGGACCAACTGACGAGATTCTGAGATTGTATTTCCGAAACTACTACGAGAAGCTAACTTCGCGTATTCGCGCGTTATCGCAATGCGATAAGGTCTTGTCACTTCGGTGACTAACGAGGTTGCCTCGGCTAAATCTTCAGAATGCCGTCTAGGTTCTTCACAGATCGGGGTTCCCATCAAACTTTGAGATTCCCCTTTTCCATATCTTCAAAATGCCGCCGTCGCGAGTATGCCTCTTTCATTTTTTCTTCACTTGCACTTGCTTTCGACAGACAACCGATCCTATCTTCCACATCGGAGATTTTTCAATCTTTCGATCTGATCCCGAAAAGAAAATCTTCTTTAACGGGAAAACCCAACACTTCGTGGACGACCGATGGAGCGTGTCGATTACCACAGGGTGGCGAAGCTCCACGCCGTGTGGAGGGCTCGCACCATGTCTCTATCCTCTCTCGTCGAGGGGCCCCGAAGAACGCCTGCTCGCCTGCTCGTCGTCGGTGTCTGCCGGCACCGCTACGTCTGCTCTCACTTTCTCCGTCGAGTAGTTTCATTTCGGTACGTAAAACTCTCTCGCAGCGTTTCCCCACTATGCGTACGAGGCGACAGCCACCGGCGCCGCCATCAATCCTTAGCATTCGAGTTAAAAAAAAAGACTGACCGATGCTCACGGGTAAGACTCGCGATTGTCCTTCGATGATCCAAAATGATTCTTTCCCTACCCACAGCAAAATATATCACCAAGATACTTAAAAGATATCTGAAGATATGAGAATATCCCAGAGACATCTCCAAGATTATAAAAAACCAGGATTATTTTATCTCAGATATGATATCTGATTTTGCATACATATCGGATATCTATGCCTCATTTAAAATCAGATATGTTATATACAACCCAAATAGCAAGAAAAAAAGAAGAATTCTTCTTAAATTCTCGATTTATAAAATTAAGGTATATGTTCACATATATTCATATATAAAGATGATAATACATTTGATAATGCATGATAATGCATTCTCCTGTTGCACCGCATTAAAAGTTCAAAAGATAATACATCTCTGATTCGTAATATTTCTCCACGCTTTACTGGGTCGCTGTGAATATTTAGGAAGCAGATCGAGACAATTAACTGCAGTCGAGAATGTTCTGAGAATGAGCGTTGTTTTACTGACCATTGTTTTACTGAAAAAGAGCATGAAAAAGAGGAAACTTGAATTTGTGTGTTACAAATAAAGTCTCGTTCTTATTATATACATATTTAATAATGCAATTTAGTAATTGCATCCACCACGGTCTTCAGATTAATAGATTAATAGTCTAATTAAGATAATTAATAAAACATTCGCACGATCTGAGTTAATGCTATTTAAATCTCTAGTGGAATTGTTTGTAAAATCGATTTAAGATTTTAGACAAGTCCTTAACTCGTTGAGACCAACAATTCAATCTATTAGAAAAAAGAAGGTGCCGTTTTATTCGAGATATTCCCGTTCTCGCGAATTTACGATGGGCATCAGGAAATCGTTGCGCGGTAAATTATTATTTAAGCGGTGGAGAAAGTCGGTGACAAGTTGAAGAAAGGCGATGGGACAATTACAATAAGATTATTTTTCGGAGCAGTGCTCTGATGTGCTATTGTCATGCTTGGATTCGCACGAAGACGAATTGCCATTATCTCAAGAACTTTGCGATCGACAAACGATGACAAACAGTCTTAATCACTTTTGAGATCGGCCTCCGTCAATTATCATAACATTCCTGCGCGCTGATCGTGTAAATTACGGATCTCGTGGATCCGTTTCGGTAATATTGCGATTGCAAGAACGTAAGACGAGAATGTAGCAATCAATTTGCTTTTTTTAACGACGAGTTAATCCCATAAAAAAACCGAGAAAGTGATATTTTATGATAAAAATGTGTGCGCGTTGATTCATCAGTTGATTCATCGATATATACGATAACTTTAGGATCTCAGACAATTTTTCTAATTGTAAGTGAAAGAATCGTGGAGATATCTGACTTATAGAATTGCTGCAAAAAATTAACGCTATTAGCAATATAAAATAGAAAAATCATACTATAAAAAAGTTGGAAGCACAAATCGTTACTTATACGGTTTATGATGTGTATACAAACGTTAAAAATTTATGCAAATTATATTCTAGCTGAAAACGAAAGTAAGCGATGCTTACATACGTCATGTACGTGTTATTAGCTCCTTTCTCCTTTTTGACACCTCCGACCTCCGACTAAGACATTGAATTATATTTTGTTACATGAACTAACTCTTTGTGTAAACGATCCAGCTGACCACAGCAAGCTTGAAATGTCTATACATCCGCATTAGTGAGAGTGACAACATGCATCATTAAATATGCGAGATCAAGTTCCAGCGAAGTGATAAATTCCTATTGCTCGTAATTAGAAATTTCATTTCAATTCGATCTTTTTGCTGTAACATTTCAACTTTTAATTAATTTTTAATGTCGCCAAATATACGATGCTTTTCGTGTGCTTGCTTTAACACAACATGAAGATAAATGTATTAATTAAATCTAATTAATGAGGCTCGTGAGCAGTGAATTGCATCTATTAAAAAGGAAAATCGGCATGAAGAATGTGCTGAATTAAAATCGAAAGTGTTCTTCGACCAGATTCTGTCGTAGAGAGCGACTCGCGACTGGGAATGTACGCAAGGTGTGCAAGAACTTGGTCGAAACCGGAGAGTACGATCGCGAAATCATCGATGCTTCTTTTATTTGTCTAGATAAGTCGCCTATAGCACCCGCTTCTAGAGTCAACCAAGTATAACTTTCTCCGTGAACTTCGAAAGTCCGGTGTATCCATCGCGTTTATCGCGACTCCGCGACAGGTTCACGAACAAATTATGTCTCTCACCGCCGGAAGTTGGAGAGTTTCTTCTTCTTCTCTTCTTTAGATATCACTCTCTATAACGATTATTACCCCGCGCGGAAAGAGAAATTTAGATCTTTCAGAGTTGCATGTTTGTAATATGTAATAATTAAGTAAACAAGTGTTGGAATATCAAAACGTTTATCTTTTATTTTTAAACTTGTCTAAAAGCAATTACAGTATTTTTTAAGTAAAATGCCTGTACTTAGAAATGTTTTAGGTATTATTTTGTAATTAGAATTATATCGGATCGCATGCAATCCACAACTCCTAAAAGCTCGATGCACAAATTGTTAGCTGCTTCACGCGTGCAAATTCGTGAATTAATATAGGAAAGTATTAATATAAAGAAAAGAAAAAAGGGGAAGAAACAGGATCACGTATTATTGTGCAACGTTAAAGGAAGCCCAAGATGCCAGGATGTAATTAGGCGACGGTGCGACATTGCACAGTCTTTTGCGCATACATGACATGCCTAGGCAACTATTGTGACGTGAATAGATAAACATCGATGGAATGTAATGGCTAACGCACGTCAGTAATATTAACCGGAGGAACATTGCGAAAATGCGTGGCTAAAAGAGTGACGTCGTAAGTACAACACACGTCATTACACTGATGTATTAGCGAGCATTGAGTAACGAGTTTATCTAATAAGCAATCATTTCCGCAGAGAAAAAAAAAGATAGATGATGAATGCGGTTGTATATCCTCTGTCGAAATCGAGGATGTATATTTGACGAACTTATGGTGCGATAAGCTTGTTAGCAACTTTGTTGCGCGTCATTAGAATAGAATCTATGTTGCAGACGATAAGCGCGTATATCTTTAAAACCGGATATAAATGGTGACCAACCACTCAGGATCGCATGATGATATCAAAAATATAAAAAAATTCTTATTTTTTAAAATCAATTCATCATACTCGTACATTTGAAATCCATTATTTATCGCTTATTATGAAGAGTAATAACATAACATAATTTTGTTAATGACTAAGAATTAATAAAGATCAGAGTATGAAAAGTTAAAAAGCGTAACATTACTTTATATTCGAGATACATTAGGTAAGTTTAATTCTAGGAATCAAGCTTATGAAAAGAAAATCTTCTTTATCTCAAAAATCGTAAAACAATCGTCTTAAGTGGCTACTACTGTATGTGCAACACATAAGAGTGACGTTAATTAGAGCGATTTAAAAGGAATCTGCATGTAATCTTCCTCGTAAAAGGAAAATGTGTTATTATGAGTAGACTCCTCCTCGTATTTGCTCCAATAATTTGCAAGGCTTATTGCTTTATAAATGATGTATTAACTCTGTTAGAAACTCTGTAAAATATTGTGCATCGTGCGTTAAATGTAATATTGAACGTACGGGTGATCTTAAATAAAGTACTAAAGCGAATTGCTCTTAATATGATATCAAACGGTTAACTAATCTCAGATCTGCTTTATTTCCATCTTATAGTTTTTGTTTTATTACATTGATTTCTCCTCTTGTAGATTATAATAAATTAGAATTTAATTTAAAGTAATTTTGTAGAATGTAAATAATCTTTTAATGAGATTAGGGAGTCAAGATGAAACTCTAGTCCTCTAATGCATCGCTAGTCACACTAACTTCCTTTCGCGACCCATATAGATCGGCTTGGCGAATATATACGCCGGCGAATGTACACAGCCGCGTATATCGACGCAAGTGTATACGCAAGTGTACATCTCTATGCGCGAAAGGGACTTTACTTTCTCAAGCACGCGACCGGCGTCACTCCATCGGCAGCTCCTCTTACTTTCTCTCCCGCACGTTTTAAAAGTAGGTCCCAAATAGGATTAAGCGATCTTTGAAGAGTCTTATACCACTCGATCCGCTACTTGTGTTGCACGGCGCTTTGCCTGCGGTGTGCCGCTAATTATATAAACAAATTGATAAAAATTGATATAAAAATTACGACTGAGATATGAAAGCGCGATGTGCAATCTGTGGTTACTTAACCGCAGTGCTATCTCTGTGACTGATAATTCTTTCGCACTTGTTAATAAATTTAATTTAAAACCCATCTTTTCTCAGGAAAAACTTAATAAAAAAAATCAACACATTAAAATTCTCCATATTGAGTATTCTTCGTATTTTTGGTTGTGTTGATTAATTTCTACTCGAACGGTTCTTTCCAATACTCATCGCTCGTTACACGCATTTATCGTCGGCTTTCTAATCGATAAACGCGTGAATCTCGGAGGGATAACTCTGGTGTTCGCTCCACTTACGTCTTCACGGCGTCGTGAATGGTCAATTACCCTCGCAAATGCATCTCGCGGCGGTGCATTCATAAAATGCAAACTACTTCTCTTATCTTCGTTCTACTACATAAAGGCAAGCCGTTTCTGTGTCTTCGCGCACATTTTTTTAGCATGTTACTCATTTATTTTGTTATGTTACATTCGTCTTTTTCGCGAGCACGAATGTCGGATTGGCTCATTCGATATGCCGCTTAATTAAGATAATAACAAGTTGAGATCTACATCGTAATCCAGTTTTATTGGCCGTTTGACTGGATTAAATATTTGCCTCTAATTGCATTTACGTGCGCCACGCGATCGCCGTGCGATGTAAAATTTTATATAATGCGGTCTCAGAAGTATAAGTCTCTTTTTTTTCTTTTACTTGTCGCTTCTTATACATGTACTTGTCCTCCTCACTTTCAGCGAAAGTGAATGGGACGCGACGACGTTTCTAATCGGCCAATTTGCATCAAAAGCTACTTGCGCGTAATCGAATGTTATAGCTCCAGTATAACGATCGTAAATGTCACGAGATGAGTTAGAGATTGATATGTAGATCAGTATGTAAATTCATAATTTCACTCATGTGTATATATGCGTACAATAAGATAAAATCCACTAAATTAATACGCTTGATCATTATTGCATGATTTCTCAGTTTCTTATAAGATTTAGGAACTTTTATTTGCAATGGGATAGTGAATTGTTAAGAAATTCTAAAATTTCACAATCAAAAAATTATCGCAAATTTTTATCACGCTATTCTAAATCAACGATTAAATATTGGGTTCTTGCTCTCGAAATTTAACATTATTTATATATTTAAAATACTGACATTTGCAATATTAGGATTCTCTCTAGTGGTAAACTTCATTATGGTCGATAATGTTGATATTCTTCTTTACTTGCTGAATAACTTGTGGCACGTGGGCTACGCAGTAGTAGTATGCTCATTGATGCTGGATGGAGAGGGCACAACCAAACGAAGCAAAAAAAAAAAAACACGTTGCTGCAGCTGATAGTGCTCCGCTCGGCAACGTGGTCGGCGTTCGGGCGTTGTTGATTTGATACTCTCTTGAGTGCGATTGTTGCTTTCAGTTTAGTGCGTGTTGCTACGCTCAAAAGTGATTGACGTAATTCAACAAAATGAGCATACTAAATCGATTTTCGCGACTCCCTCGTCTGAGCGCTTTCTATCACAAAAATGTACGTCGTCGATATAATAAACAAACCTCTGCTTTATAGTTCGCCTTTAACCTTATTTCTCCCTAACCTGAACTAATGTTCGTAAACAATGATACGGTAAAATTATGATGACCTAGCTGTTGAAATCAACCTAACAATCTAGCTCGAAATCATAGGCCTCTTCTAGAGGAAGTAAAATAAAATTTGCTTTGCTCTTAACTTGGCATTTTCTCAAATGTTCCAGGTCTCTCGCTTTTGCACAAAAACCGACGGTCCACCGATACCCACGAATGCCCTGAAGGACACGTACAGTGCCAATGAACAATCTGGAACCGGAGTGATATACGACAAAAAGCCATTTAGAATACACCTTCAAGCTGGCAAGAATTACACGTGGTGTCTCTGCGGACGAAGCAGAAACCAGCCGTTCTGCGACGGCACGCACAGAGACATTTTCCTCAAGATAAAGCTCAGACCCATACGTTTCACTGTTTCGGAGACTAAGGAATATTGGCTGTGCAACTGCAAGCAGACGTCGAACCGACCTTTCTGCGACGGCACGCACAAAAGGCCGGACATACAGGAGACAAGAACATAAAAGACATGAAACTGTACTGTTGATATAGCATCATGAATTTCGAAATAAAGATTACTTTTATGATATGCCATGCCGTTTGTAGATATCTCGAGTCGTGTATATAATATACATACATCTTTGTAATTATTGTTACTGGAATACAATATGTTCCATTATTAATAAAAATATCTTAGATATCACAAACAAAAATAATCCTTTGTTTCTAAAAATAATCCTATTTTATTTCTTAGAAAATAATTCTCGACCAAACTGATGAAATAAAAATATATATAGAACAAACGTAAATTGAAGAAGTAAATGATTAGAAAATAGAAGACATCGAGGTTGAACCGCGATATCGCTTTTGTTTTATCTTTTACTATGCACGACTTCAATGCTTCCACAATTGCACAATTATCTTGTCCGTTTGATGTGTACTTCCGAAGTCGGAAACACGTAACATTCGCATTTCCGTCGTCAGAAAGAAAATGCAGAACGCGCGTTACATCAGTCGCAGTGCGTCCACAGTGCTCCGAAGTAATTAATCGTATTCCCTTTTAAAATATTAACGAAATGCCAAGCGTTAACTTGATATTGTTTTTATTCATTATATGTGCAGCGTATTCAATTACCTACTGCGATCACTGCTGCTTAATCAATCGCCATGAGTTACCGCAATACGATCTAATAATGAACAATTCGTGCTCGAGTCAACCGATCATATCGCGAAAGATAGTCTCCAACGTGAGCGAGTGCGCAAAATTCGCCGCGTCGAAGAAATCCCTCGCCTTCAATTTTATTTCCTCGAGAAACCGCACCGGTACGCGAATGGCAAACATTTAAACGTAATTGCGGCGTGTAATTATGATCATTTCACGTGATAGGCCCTCATGATTATAGCGGAACGTAATGCGAATTACAAGTGCAACTGTGTTGTAAAACGCGGTGTAATTAGTCGGTTCAATTAACGTGATTAATTCAACGTACGTTTCGTGTAATTTCCCTGGCGTATATTCTTATGATGTTTCTTTACTGACACGCAGGTGGGCGAGAAAACTCGTGTCAAGCTCTTCAATGTCCCGAAGATTACAATATGACCACCCTCGTGGCTACTCCAAATTGCAATTATTACAGCATGTACCACATTTTATCTCCGCCCGGTAAATGCAATTATAATTATTCACATCAGAGCCCGCGTAAAGATCATGCCATGAAATTTATCCATTATTAACACACAAACCATATTAAATGTTATACACGCGTCCGAATTTATTTTTCGAACCGTAAGCTCTTTCGACATGTTATTAATTAAATATTATTTACTTTCAGTGAATGCCACGATGGAGTGTATTCCCAAAGCGGGGATGTTCATGCTCTCGTCTGAAAGTCTGAATTATACGGAGGCACGAAGTTTCTGCCAGACGCAAAACGCATCGCTCGCGCACATAATTAGCGAGGAGCGCACAGAAGGCCTCGGCAAATTCGTGTCACATAATCTTACCAGATTCGTGGGTCTGAGCAGTGAAAACAAGGAGAGAATTTGGAAGAACGAATTCGGTAATTCGTGACTACATATATATGTCTTGCTTGCAGCGAGATAATCTTTCAAGCCGCATGCCGAAAAGTATCTCGACAGAGAACTCTGAAAAATATATGATTTTTGACAGGCGAGTCCTTGTCTTGCTTCGACTATCGAGCATGGGGCGAGGGGGAACCGTCGTATTCGAAGGGCTGTGTCGCTCTCACAAAGCTGCCTGCCAAAAACTCGCTGCCCTTCTGGAAAGTGATACCTTGTCGCGCATCGCTGCCGTTTATCTGCGAACTCTCGCCGTTGTCTCCAGAAGAATCGTCGAAGCAGCAGCGTCATAAAACTCATAAAAATCATCGTCGCACATAATACAATTGTATTTAAATGCAATTATACATTTTAAGAAGAAATAACAATTGTACGTGACATAAAAATAAACTTACGAACGCAAATTATTGACTTTTATTAAAGAAACTCTTACCTCGAGCTGAACGACTATTGAAGTAGAAACAAGAAGTAGCCTTTATCATATTATTATATGCATAGGATTAACTTAAATCAATTCTCACCGTCTTTAATTCCCACATACAATACGGACCATTCTCGTTCTGCTTTTGTATTGCGCAGATACCATTTAGCAGTGAGTGATAAGGTCGGAATGAAGGCAGACATTAAATATGTATAGAGATTTTAATGTAGGATTACAGGACTCCAGCATTGCGTATATAGAGAGTGACTTCACTCTCCGATGGCTTTATTTACAGGTACGATTGTTAATCCGAAGTATGCACGGTTGGACACGTTGACAAAGGAAGGGAAAATATATTTATATAACTCTCACTCGATCGCGCTGCGCTTACACATGTATATGTACATAATAGGCCTAACGTTAATAACATTAAAAATCGTTTCGCTCGGGTCGTTAACTCCAGTCTCCTTACGTTCTAGAGCATGCTTTCTACAGGGATATCACTTAGCAACTATGCAGCCAAGACAGCTGTACGCTGCCGCATGCGTCCGACGCTTTTCGACAGGATATTCATCGAGAACAGCACGCTATAGCGTGATATAAAAGTGATCTCGATAAGATTCGATGTCGAACAACACACAATCAGAAATAAGTCTGCCATTATATTAGTCTTACAACCTCATTAGCGATATTTATTCGCCATAGCGCCGTACATAGTGATAGATCGAAAGCGTGTGAGAGATAGTTGCATCGTCATTAATACACGATCGATTACAATCTGTCGATTTTCACTGGCATTAGGATAATATTTGGGACGCGATACTTTTAGAATAAAGATTTCGTTACGATCGTTTCTCGCATGTTCTCACTCGATGCGCAGAATTAATGCTCAACATTGTTATATTTACAGATTAACATTTTCTCAATGATTCTGGGAAACACCCATTGCATTTCAAACAAATTCTGGAAGTTCGGTGACAAACGGAAAGGCGTTATAAATTCCTAAGTACACGTCTAATTTTTAATTAACGCATTTATATCGTTTTTTCAAAATGGTCACATTAACATTAAAGTGGTGAATGATTGTGTTTATTTAACGATTGAATCGCAAGAGATTATTACGAGGGAAGACGATGTAATAGTGCCTGTAATCGTGCGAAACTATGACTAACTGATACTTGACAAACAACTGTTCGTTCTAAAAAATATCTCCAAAAGACATAAAATGCAACCAAATATTTTAATTGAGCTCCCACGGATCCTGATTATAAAATAACTACTCAAAACGTATAAATTATAGAGAAAAAAATCAGCAAAAGTTCTCTCGAACTCGCTTAAAAACTATTATTGTCACGCGTTACACTTGCAAGAAGGTGCATAATGGTGTCGCATTTGTAAACCGAAGCTTTGTATACCATGTGAGTGAACATATATTCACGTAAAAATTGTCCCGTTCAAACGACTTGATCTGCAGCGAAATATAAAAGTATAAAAAGAGGTGATTACAGCGACGTACGAATCTAAACGTGGTCTCGTTTATCTTGAACTTTCTTTTGTAAGCATGGTCTCAGTATTAGATGCCGATTGAGAGAGTTGCCCTTGAGTTCTAATTAAAATGAACGCGTTACATATATATTATGCAAATTAATACAATCTTGTACGGAGTTACAAAGAGAAGCGCTTCAAAATTATCTACGATACTCTACAAATATAAAGAGGTACCTCCGTCGTTAAAAGCCATTGCGCTTCGTTAAAATTAGAGCTCGTTAATTAACTTCGAGCTATTCTTGCGATGCCTTGCGATTAAATTTTCGAAACAGCATATGTGTGTCGATAAAAGCGTGCTTTAAATAATGAATGATTTAGGTCAATATATCGAAATGATACCTTCTCTAAAAAAAGAAGGAAAATCATGTGCAAACTATTCAATACATAAATTTAATTACTCAAAATATATATATATATATTCAAATATTATAGCCTTACGATAATTAAGCCAACTTATGAATTGCATATTGGTATCTTTCTAATGTTCTTTCTAATGGGGACGGATTACATGTAAAATAAAAACTTACGTTTGAAATAATAATTCTTTTTACCGCATCGTAACTTTTCCTCTCTAATTTGAGAAAATATTTCACTTAACGTAATATAAATTTTTTTTCTTGCAAAATCTCTTGCAAAACTTATTATGGCTGTTAACGTACATTATGCAGTTAAAGTATATTTGCGAGACATTATTAAGTGATTGAGCCGCCCCAAAATATATTTCGTTTTATACACGAACCTTAAACACTGTGCGGTACATTGATAAATTGCAATTCGACCAACATATACACATTCGATTATCAAGTAAATATGATAATTGTACTGCTTTTCAAACCTGCCAGGTTCCGCAGTATGGAACTATTGATTGCTCAAAATTAATGGAGACGAGAGAGAATAAAATATATATATATATATGTATATATACATATTATTCAATGTATGCATATCTGCATAAAAATAAAGTCTCTTTTATATCAACCTGATTAGAGGAAATAGCTTTCAGTCCACTATTGTTAGTTAAAGTATTAAATATATTTTATGGAATACTGATATAAAAAATTAAATAGCGTCTCGTATTTCCTCTCATATATCTCTAATCTTTATTCATTAGATTTTACACCATATTTACTTAAAATTCCATTTTCATAAAAAAAATAAAAACTTTTTTTTATATTCAACACGTTTCGCGAATGTATCGAACAAAGCTGCTAATCTGTCGTTCAAAGCGGCCTACAATGCATTCTTATAGTTTTATCGTCCTGTCATGATACTTTCATGATATTTAGGACAGAACAGAAGTTTTTTCATTCATAAATGTTTCTCTCTCGCTGTGCCTCATTCCTATATGTATATTATAACCACGTGACGCTACGATATATCACATATCGTGCTATTAGCACCGTTTCAAAGACATTCCGCTCCGGAGCGGAACATGCTTCGATAAGCGGGTGAAAATAAATGGCTCGACGAACGCGTCGAATTAGACTTGTACGAGTCGCGTATTTCGGTCCGCAGTCCGGTGATATTTCTCGTGAAAAATCAACGAGGATCGCTTATCACTATCGTTGAATGAGGCATCTCGGAAATGCAATAAACAAAAAAAATGCTTACATTGGCACTCAGATTACTAAAGAAACCTACAGCAAATCATCACACATTGCAGTTATCGCGAGGCAGCTGCGTTCGTTGGATAAAAAAAAGAATCACATAATTCTTACGTCTATCGAACTACGAATTTAAGTACTTTTCTATCCTTTTCTCCAAGTATTCTTATCGTCTGTGATAATAAAATTAAGATAGTTAGCAATCTTTCGTAAATTCTATTAAAATATATACGTAAATAAGTAACATAAAACAATGAATAAAATGCAAATTGGTACAAGAAAAGCACAGGCACCCATCTGGAAGGACACTTGCGCTATTTTTTCCTTCTTTCTTTTCTCTTTTTGGAACTTTACGTCGCAAGATTTTTCGTGCTACTGATAACAGGGAAGTTTTGTCATAATAATCTAGAATATGTGCAAATGTACATTGAAGATTTGCGTCTCATAATTTGATATGTGTCGTGAGTTTGAAATGAAAATTGTGGAGCTTAAGCTGCGCGATTGCGAACGTCTATAAGCATCCGTAAATGGGTTATGATTATCAAGAGAGTGATCAATTCCGGCAGTTACAATGAGATCTGTTAAATTATCAAAAATCAAATAAAAAAGAAATACTTTTACAGACGAAGAATGTCATATGGAATGTTCCGTTTTTAACCGGGTCACGCGAATACTGCATCGACGGAGCAAACAATAAACGTATACTACCAAATGAATAAATATATATGCGTGTGTGTGTATATATATATAACAACAGTAATAGTTATTCTAGCAGTATTAGTTTCTTTCTCATTATGTGATTTAATGAGAAAACAACACAGTGGTAGTACGGGCAGATAAATATACTATTGATTTTTCTCTCTTAACACCGATACGTATTATACTTTGCTGTTAACCGATGCGTTTGCGAGAAGAGGTACGAGCTGTTCGGAGAGCTGTCCTATTGTCGCCTGCAATACCGCTTGTTTCTCCTCTAACGCGGCGACCTTGTTGAAGCAATTTATATTAATATCGCGTGTCCTCGCGTGTGCATGCAACGTACTGAAATGAAAATTTAATAGCGTATGGATTATTTTAATATTTACCCTTTCCAATAATTTACTGTAGAGGGCATACGGCACGTAGGCAGGTTGACCAGATGAACTAGGACTTTGGTCGGCGTGGGGGCTTGTTTCGGCTCTCGGACTTTTATCTTTCGGTTTGCTATCGTCGTTATCGGTATCCTGTTTGTTAGTGGAATCCGCGGTATTTCCTTGTGTCATTAATCTAATGAGCGATAAGATAATGTACATTATATTCGCATATTCGCGACATAAGTAACGGATTTAATAAGTCATCAAAAAAAGTCAAAACCTACCGCGAGAAATTTCGTTCCTTTTTAACTTCCACTTTATCGACTCGCTCTACCGTAGCGGTTTTTCTCCTCTCCATCTGATTCATCTTCAATTCTTCGACCTGCAGGGAATCGACGATGATATTAATAACGATAAGATTAATGAACGCGATATATATTTCTTACATTCTGTTTATTTTATCTCTAAGAGTGGCGCATTACCCATGGTGCTTTTCTTCTCGCTTTTGCCGCAAGCCCGTCCGTTTCTTCATCAGGTATTTGTTCCAACGTGGTTCCATCGGTGCGTCCATTAGACAGATTATCTTCCTACAAATTATAAAAGATATTAAAATCAATATACTTTTATTCAAAATTTAATGCATGATGTTAATGCTTGTTTTAAGTCATAGTTACCAAAAGAGTGTTGGGAACGGTTGGCAGCGTCGAGGATGCGCTTGCGTTGGATCCAGCAGCGTGGCGTAGATGCTGCGACGAAGGCGGACGTCGCCGAGGCGCTTTAGCGCGAGAAGCTGTCAAATGCGAAAGCGGAGTGCCCTCCCCTCGTTCTACGCCGTCCAACTCCTCGCGACACTCCGAAGCGGTACTCGTCGTGTTGCTGATCCCGTTATTATTTCCTACGTCGCTTACGAAACGCTTTAGGCTCGATATAATCGAATGGCTACCGGCCGTTTTCTTATCACTGTTTCCGCTTCCGGTAGATGTCAACGACGACGTTGAGGTGGACGACAATGTAGATAGGCCCTTTTTAGCAGCGTCTAGAGTAGGGAAGTGATCTAGCAAAATACAAAATTGCGTGTTATACTCACGCAAAATAAAAAGTATCGTTCCGATACGAAATAATCATATCTTACCTGATATATTACTCGAATGTACATTCCTGGTATCCAGACTTTTTCTAACGTGCGCTTTCTCGACTTTCTTCACTTGATGGGAATGTCTAATGGTCGACTTTGCACTTAGCGACGATGTTTCATGCCATTGGGAATCTTGTTCCTGGGATTCGTTTTTTATACCAATCACTTCGACAAAATTGTCAGGGAACAAACCAACTTGTCCCCTCAATTCTCCCTTCCACCAACCCTATATAAATTATTATACATGTTTAATATACTAATCATGTACTTACTGTTATTATTCGTTAATTCGTTAATTAATACTAATCAGATGGATTATAAACCTTGTCCAGCGCATCCTTAGAGAAAAGGGTGATTATATCTCCTTCAACCAAAGTAAGCTCATCCTCATTAGCAGCCTCATAGGGAAAGAGTACTCTACATATTTCCTTCTTGTCTCTCTCCTTGTGCCTCTCTTGTTCTTCGGGGGCAGGTGCAGAAACAAAATTTGAAGGAAACACACCGACTCTACCTCTGAGACGACCTCTCCACCATCCTTCCTCCACTTCTCCCAAAAATTCTATGGAGTCTTGCGGCACTAAAGTTAGCTCGTCCTCGTTACAAGGTTCGTAACTGAAGAGGACTTTGCAGAAACGTCTACCGGAGCCATTCCTTAAGGTGACATTCTCGTCAGATTTCGTGCTGCTTACGGTCTCGCTGCCGTTATTTCCGCTGGCGGTCGAGGAGGAGTCCAATACCTGCACGCCAAATATTTCCGCGTGAGAATCTATGAGTGTACAGAGATGATAAATCAATAAAAGGGATGATTCGATGCGTAATACCTTAACAAAGTTATCGGGAAACATGCCACGCTTGTCCCTCAGGGTGCCCTCCCACCATCCTCCAAGCATCATCTTGATCCCAGTGATGATGTCACCTTTCCTTAGCGTCAACTCGTCATCCTCTTGCGCCACATAATTATACTCCACTATCGCCTCCATGATTGAGAGAACAGTCTCGACGTGACGGCGAAAATTATTCCTGCGGAAAAACAGCCTTACAATGCGACGAGGCGGCAGAGTTCGATCGGCTCGAACTGGTTTGATTATCGCGGCGCCGACACGCCTCGGTACGATCGACCGTCGCGCAGAACGTTGAGAGTTCGCGAGAGGGAAGAGAAACGTCAAACGGGTCGCGCGCGCGGAACCAAACTTTATAAACGCGCGTATATACGTACGGGTTACGAGGTGACGTGCGTTCTCGGACTGCCTGGGTGCGTTTCTGTCTGACGGACGGTCCCGAGCGGACTCGCGTACTCGCGCATCGCAATGCGGTCCGATGCAACGCGACGCAACGCGGAGATTAGCACGACGCGACGCGCGGCGCGGAAACGGCCCGCCGCGTGACACGGAATTTAGGCTTTAGGACCCCGGGCGGAGTTGACAGCTCCTCGTATCTGTCACCGCGGCCATCTTACGCTTCGAAGACCACGGCTCGGCAGCTCCGATCTCCGGGGCAAAGCGGTGCGCATGCCACCTGCTCTAGAGGCCATCGACACCGAACATGTCGTCCACCGCCATGCTTAGTCGAACGGCGGGACAAGCGGCGCGCGTTGCGGAGCCTGACGTACGGCACAATTTTTACGAGTTCGATGACATTTGCCTTTTAATCTTGGAATTCAGCAGTGACTCCGCGTCAAATCGAAGCCAGTTACAACGAGAAATTTAACGAGGAACGAGGCAAATATATTTTATCTTCAATCGCTCGCAACCACGACTTCGGCACGTTTAAACGAGAATGAATATGGTGGAGTAGCCCGGATTGTTCCGCTCGAGACTCTGGGCGCTCGAACGAGATGCGCTTCGCTCATCTGCCTGCGTGATTCATCTCTCGACGCGACGCGCTTGTTTGAATGGACGCGCGTTGCTTGCCGTAATGTGAGTCATGACGCGCACGTGCTTTAAGTTATATCGTGCGACGATTGTAGTCTGCGCACGTACTACTATTTCACATTGCTATTTTAGCCTAGTCAAAACAGATCCGCGATTCAAAAGATATGCGTTTTTCAGTAGATCAGCAGAATATCTTTTAAACATCTATTGAGGGACAATTGAGGATGTTGACCGAAGATAATAATGTATTATCTGTAGCCTTGGAGAGATTATTTTTATTTCTCTTTGTTTCCAGAGTCTACGGGATTTTTCGATATATCGGACATCTGACTTCTCCTTATCGATCCGTTGATTCCGAGATTTCCGAGTCTCGTTTAATTTTTTCCACTGTCACGGCACAATCGCGATCTTGAACGTCGAATGACGTGACACGCGACTGCCGGCCTACGTCCCGCGTATCGTGCAATTTGCGGACGTGACAATCCGCTAAATCCCGCGTTGACGAGCGCGAGCTCGAGCGTGTTCTCCATTACGAGGTAGAGAGAAGACGCAACGCAACGCAATGTGCGCGCGTATATCTACCTGTCAACGGGGGAACCTTGCGCTTCTCCGTGGGCTTCCTGGTGCGTGCGATTCAGCGCGGGCGCTCAGCTGGAAAACGGTGCCGTATCGTCCTCCATTTTCAATGCGCTGATTCACGCCGATAATCGTTCGCGTCTTATCGCCAAAGACTATCACGTATTGGCGATGCGCGGCGAATGCTAAAGATGTCCTCCGAACGCGGTGCGTGAGTCGTACGGTTGAGCAATTCGTTTAACACACTTGGGTCACGCACTCGGTGAACCGTTGCGTTACAATCAAGCCTCACTTTCCTCCTTACTTTTGTCAAGTATGAGTGACCCGCTTATTTCTCCTGTTCCGCTTGTGTCTTTCGTGTTCTTCGGCGATAAACACTGATTAAATTTTTCTCTCTTCCTTCTTTTAATATCTCGGAATAGAGCTTATGCTCCGATAAGAAGAAGGCGTAGTATATATGTTATAGGTAAAAAGTGTGTATCTTTATTTATTATTGATTCAGACATCGAGTTGAACAAGTTGTTTCTCTACAAACTTAAAAACTTCTCTTATACACTTATACATTTAGATAATCGATCGCGAAGTTTGAATTAAATTATGTAATAACATGATCATTCTTTTGAGGGTGACGTGATAAAATGGCAAATCAAACATTGTAAAAGCTATCGTTATATCATACGTTTATCATCCCCACATTTATCTCCTCGGTAATCGGACAAAGTCTTCTTGCTTTACAACTTCGAGCATCGATACAAAAAATTTTTAACAATTTTTTTTACGAAGAACGTCGGCTTAATTTGATACCAGATTGAAAAAAATTGCCAGCCAAAACTACTCGTCCGATCAGCCATTCTATTTCATCTCTATATACCTTAACAAGATTCGTAACAAAAACACAGCTGATTCCTATCAAAAAACTTTCATCATATCGTTGAAAAATCGCAAAAGTCGTTGAAAATCGAGAGTTGTAAATTCGCAGAGCCGTAACTAGAATGCAAAATGGGACTAAAGATATTTTTGATTTTGCATAATTTATTCTAAAATCCAGACAAAACTGTGACAGAACCGAATTCTATAAGAAATTTTGCGAAATCAGAAATCTCTACAGACTAAGAATGCCACAGAGATCTGTGCGAATACAAGGTGAAAGGGTTTCAGCGCGAACGCGTGATCCCGATATTCCGTCACGCATATTTTTCGTGGAATCTCAAGGACAGGGTTACGGAATGATTGATTTGATAAAACACCGTTGGACTCACGATACGTGAAAAAAAACGCTAGTTTACGACGCTGCACGCGCGCGCACATACGTGGCAGGTTAAACTAAGTCATATAAAAAAATTCTCTTTCAAGAGATTCTTCAGCCGAAGACCAGCTTCGGACGAGAAATCAAGCACTTCGATGAAGCAAACGATCCAGCGTTCCTTAACAAAAATTTGTACAAGCGACTCTACCATTCACGTGGGCGACGCCGTTCTTACAATTGGCTCTTTTTTTTACTTTTTTCTTTTTTAATATTTTCTCCACATTTTTTGCGAGAAACAAGCACCTGCATTTTTAATGAAAATTCTACATTTGAATGCCAATTCTACGTTGCCGTATTTATAACTTTACACAAAAAGTTTCTACATTTCTTGCCTCGCGCCGTTTTATCTTAACTAGAGAATTTTATTTTAAAAAAAGATAATGTCAAATTCCACAGGTGCTTTTCCTCGTTACAAATAGTTCGCGGAACGAAAATAAATGATAGTCTTGACAAATCATGCGCGCATCTAAAGAAGAGTTGACGAGAATGGAGCACAATCGACAACCAAATTTCTCTAACCACATCTAATCTCCGATAATCCAAGGTTTCCCAAACTTTTGAGATATATACACTGGTCCTCTGACAACGATACAGACATTTGCTTATTTCATCCAAATTTTCATGATCAAATTAAAAAAAAATTGTTAAATATTTTTGCGACATTAATTTTTGGATAACTGCAACTTCAGATTCATTTAAAAGCGATTTACGCGAAATCTCGTACGGGCGAAAATACATTAGTTTCGTTGTTTTGGTACGCCATTAGATTTTGAGAAAATATACGCATCGAAAAAGTTCAGTTCACGTCCGCATTTTAAGTTTGGGAAATCCTGATTGTTAATTAAAGGGCACATGTAGGTTGCTTAGCGGGCGAAACAATCGAATTCCATAGTATTTTTATACAAATATGCCGCGATTTATAAATATATAAAAGCAACAAATATATATACCGTCGTTATCGTGTGTGTATATATATAATACATATATGTATATTTATATTTATATAATATCGTCTTGCACAAATGGTACAAAGCCTATACCGTAAAAGTATTACGTTTAGGATTGCGGCTGAAAAAACAAACGGTGCGGTGCCGTGGTGATCACTAGGTATTCCGTTAACGTGCGCGAAGTGATCTCGTTTCGTCGGCATCATCGTTACAACGTCGATCGATCGCGACGGATATAATGCGCTTCTCGTTTGAAGAGTGCATGCGCTCTTTAGACTCTCGGCTGTGTCGCGATGCAACTTGCAATCACGCATGCAAGCGTGCAAAAAAGCGCGAATTGGGTTTTCGCAAAGTTTCGCGGGCGCCCTCATTATATCACACCACCAGAAGATGTTTAGAGTTACAAGATTGCCATTCGCAATGCAGTTCGAATTGCACGTGAATGCAGCCTGAAGCGGAATTGTGATTGTTGTGTATATAAATCAGAAATCGTAGCAGTGAAAATTGTTCGCAATTCTCCAGAAGATGAGAGATTCGATTTTTAGGATATATGTACTTACGAATGAGAAAACAATAATATATCGCAAGTATCTATCGATTCTCTCTCGCATAATCCCGAAAATACAATGTTCTCGGAGATAATAATGAAACGAGATTTTAATTGTAGCTTCAATCGGGCATCGACCATCACACACATCGCGTTACCTTTCCATAGTTTTCCTCTCGATCATAAAGCGATCTGTTACGATATCTCGTACAACGTATCTCCTATCTATCTTTTCCTTTCGTCTTTATTTTCTTTCTTATAATCATTGATAGGCACAATAAAGGCTTTTATGTTTCTGCCAGCGTAAACGAGAAGTATGAACGGTGAAAGTGATTTTATCGAAAGGCCGACAACCATCAATGTTTTGTTAATTATAATGTGATTCTCGATATAATAAATACGAATAATTCTCTAAACAATAGGGAAAATATTTTTTGTAATATGAAAACGACTTGTGAATAGGATTGAAGGTTCAATCAAATCTTGAAGAACGAATTTTTATAATGAACTTTCTTGTTGTCGTTGAAATAGTTATACATTATTATATGTCTTATATATATTTCTTTTTCAATAATTATATTTTCTATATGTAAATTCTTATCCAATTTATTTTCCAATCCCATTTACTATGACGCAATCAGTAAATCTGCCTTGCAAGTAAACGCATCGAATAAAAAGTAAATAAAAATCGAAATAACTTAATTTTATTATATAAGTTTATTTAAGAAAACTCTCTCAGCATTTAAAAGTTAGAAAGATTAATTTTTCTATCATTTAAGATTAATCGAATGATTTACGCTACGTATTAAAATATGTACGTATTGCAGTGTGTTACATGGCAGCTAACATAATCTCTCGGACCTTAACGGACCTTAAACCCTGCGGCCGCAAATATGGCCCGTGAAAAACGCAAGGATGCTATTATCCTTTTTTTTCACACGACTATTACGTAAGTGCTCCATTTTTTTATGCGAAACAAGATTGGTGCTGTGACATTCTGTAAGTAGAATGTATTGCATTATCGCGAAACGTCGAATATAATACGGATCACGGAAAATGTTCCATCACGATTATCAAAGCGCATTAATTAAGCGTGGATTATCACGTGTGTGCACCGATATGAAAGGTTTGATATACAGATATCAAGTGCTCGTCTCGATTCGGCCTTGTTTCGAAACTTCACTTCAGGCTCTGAGAACAGGCTTATTTTTTTATGAACACATGAATTAGCGATTCTTCTTTTGAGTACAAATAGCATTTGCTAGTCTTACGCTACACCATTTTCTCAAGGCAGAAGGAAAGTTTTATTCGACATCAATAAAGCTTCGCGTGCAATAGTGCAATAAATCGCGGTCTCTTTGATATATTTAGTTAAACAAAACATTTTAGAAAATACTCCAGAATACTTCCTTGAATATTTCTTTAACACTCATCTCTTTTACTTAAATTTGTCATTTCCAGGAAATATTTTTATAACTTTAAAAGATCAAAATTGAAATTTTGTTTAATTCGTTAAACATTTTCAACTTCGAAAACCACATGTTTATTAAAAAATTATTCACATCTCGATATTAAAATAAACATTATTCTTCATAGTTTGATTGTTGGTGTTTGCTTCGAATACTCGACATCAAAAAAACATTTATGCAAACTTTGGCATCTGTGCATCAAATAATCCCGACGTAATCGCGCAAGTCCTTCCCTGAGGGAAGAACCCTGGTCCTCGTTGAGAGACATCGGTATAGTAATCGCAAGTCTTATATAGTAATATCGTTTTTAGACGGTAATCACAATGCGCTTGACGATGTCTTTCTCGGGTAGACATACTAGAATAGTAATACGTCGATTACTGCGAAAGTGTGCTGCCTTAATAGCGTCGAGAAGATGTTTTCTTTTAGTTAGGCCTTACCAAGCGAATCTAAGTGAACGTTCTTAAACTGCTTATGATTATACCCAATGAATGCGTCTGATCCGCGAAAGTCTAACATCGATGAGATTTTTCGAAAAATTGTTCGTAGACAAATACACATTTCGCGATCCTTTCGTCGAATTTCTGTCTCATAAATTTCTGTAGTCTTTTCTCTCCCAGCTGATCTGCTAAATATTTTTGAATTACATCAAACTCGCGCGGAATAAAAATCATCAGTTTACTCGGAAAAGTCAACCGATATTCGTGGAACCGGCCTACAATTAATCAGATCAGTTATATCGACGCGTCTGTCGATGATACGTTCAGGCATTCCGATTACCTCGTAGCAAGAGCTCTTCGTCAAATCTCTACATTCGTACAAACGTGACTCGCGTCAGTATAAATAGACATCTATGACGTAAAATCGCGTATCATAGATAGAACTTTGCGATAATCTCGAAACTCGTAGCTCGGGCTTAACCGTAATGTGCGTGTACGTGATGTGTTTTCGTATTATCCAGAGCGAGAGCTTATACCTCGCACGGGCGACAAATGTTTCCTAAATAGTGTTTATCATGACTGTGATGACGATCCAGGATCGCGGCAGTCCACATTTGTTTCGTGCTACCGCCGCTGCATTACGCTACGACGCGCGACGTCGTCATTCGGACTTTCGCGCGTAATAGGGTGCAGGGTTCTTGAGATAATACCTATAATATCCATTGCGATTATTGCAAATGGTGTGGTAGTAGCGTGAATAATTGCCACCCTCGCAGGGTATATACGAACACCTTTCTCGTCGTCCAAGTCGATTTCCGTTCGACGATTCACGACCGATTCACGATCGCATATGTACAGGTATGGAAATGAGCGATTCTCCCCTTGTGCACGATGAACAGACGAAATCCTTTGTCCCCGGATTTAATTCTTGGCTGCCGTCGAAACTTCCAACCGGCAAGATAGACCTCCGCTGATCGTCCATCGAACTAACAGCTGCATCTCCAGGCATCACCTTGTTGAGACGGTGACTGCGCCTTAATTATACTGTCCGCGCCTTCTCTCTCGGAAGCCTCGAACAGGCTAGCCTGCAACGCAGTTGTTCATTGCGCTAGTAGAAAGCTCGGTCCCGTTAAGCTTACAAAAGATAAGAGAGGAAAGAATCGTTTCATAGAAATCTCTTCTATTATATCCCGAAGAAAAGTTTTCGCTTTAACTTACTTGATGCAGAATGTAACTTTAATAGTAATAATGTAAAAATTATAGCTTTTAAGTACACTTAAAAAATTTTTTTTAAACTATGCAGGAATATAATGGAAATGATTCTTCGTAGCAATCAGTCTTATTACCCGGCGACCCCGTTGTTCTCGTATTCTTCTGGCTAGAGTGAGGAAAGCTTCCTCGATGTTGATGTTCTCCTTGCACGATACCTCGAAGAAAGGCATATCAAAGTTTTCAGCGATCTTTTGACCTCTCTCAGCTTCCACAGCCCGATTCGCGGTTGCGTCGCATTTATTGGCCGCCAAAACTTTTACTACGTCTGGTGACGCATTCTGTGATGCAAACGACGGAATTGCTTATGATTCATGCTCTCGTATGACAATTGCATTAGGATGACTTTGGATCGATTACGGAAGCGTTCTTTCGTAGAATTAATTTCTTTAAAAGTCTAATTTATTAAACTCTGAATTTCACACGCTTAAGTGGTCGATGTAGGTACGTGCAACTTGTAATCTTCTAACATATTTTATCAACTTTCTTCAAACTTTTCCCCATTTGACATTTTCGGATCGTAACTTTCAAGTAATCTTTTAGCACTTTAAATTTTTGTTCTGAGATTCTTAAGATCTTTATAAACGTGACCATTTAAAAAGTAATTAGCGCGAGTTTATTTCCGTTCGCGTAATGTTCTATGTTCTATGTTTAGAATCTTTTTAATCTTACTTCTTGGATATTTCGTAGCCAGTACGACAGATGGTTGAAACTCTCCAAACTAGTGACATCGTACATCAAAAGGATACCCATGGCACCACGATAGTACGCTGTTGTTAAAGTTCGAAATCTTTCTTGGCCAGCGGTATCCCTTTTAAAAAAAAAAGATGTATTCACAGATATACTTTCTGCTATTTCATTCTGTTTTTATATATACGACTTGTCATTTTACAGTTTTACACATGCAGATTCTATTTTGTAAAACTCAAGAGAATTAAAAATAAAAACTGAAATTCTAAATTTTTTTTTAGAAAAGAACTTAGGCTCTTTTATTTAATTTTAAAACGTTACTTGACAATTAACTATCTATTAAAAACTTGCGAGAGAGGACTAATTAATACTTACCAGATTTGTAATTTAATCGGCGTTCCGTCCAAGTTAATGATTTTTTGTTTGAAGTCAATACCTGCAGATATATTCGCCATTTACATCTATTATGCGTAAATATTTTCAGGATATTTAAATACCGAGCAAATTCTAAAGTTCAAATAAAATCAAGGACTCGTGATACACTTCAATTATGTTTGTAGCACGGAACAATTAGATGCTTATTAATTAGATGGCTATTGCAACAGTTTGTACACCAGACTTTCATATATTCCTCGCGTGCAAATAGGATGATTAAAACCTTATGTATGGAGCTGAATTACTCTTTATAACGGAGAACAATAAGCAATTAGTTAGTGAATAGCTAATTAAAATATTTTCACACAAGCGAGGATATATCTTTCGAACATTTTTGTAATTATGATAATTTGTATCGGGATAATTGCCAGAAATAGTTCGGCCCGACAGTAAATTTAAAATTAGACAGTTGCATCGCAACATCGAAGGCCGGATGTAACCAAATAATCAGCTGATCGATGCTAACTCAATATACATTTTACGGAATATACATATAAGTATGCCCCAAACGTCAATTTGCAAGTTCACCTAAATTTGGTAAATAAAGTAATTATTACTGTTTGTTTGTTCTTATTAAAAATATAAGTGATATTTGATTTAAGTTAATCATAAAAAAGGATCAAAAAGATAGTTGACTCTGTCTCTCATTGTTTCACAAATGGAAAAAATGAGGACAATATGCATTAAACGCGTTAAATTAGAACGATGTCAAAAAAATAAATGTAGTAGAAATTTTTTTTTCCGATAGTATGTAAAATCTACTTTACAGACAAAGACGTGACCTCATCGATAATAGCCGAGGGTTAATTAACGTCTACGTGTGTCAACGATGTATGGAACCCATACATTAGTTCTTAGTACCCGGAGCAAAATTAAAGCGCGTGACTTTATTGTACCAGAGAAGATGAGCTGTCGCAAACCAGTCGCAACTGGCGCCAAGATACGTCACAACAAGTCGTTGAAACGACTCAACAAAGCGGCTTCGGAGGCGGTCGCCGCGGGTGAATGGAAAACCCGATGTATATTTTTACGGTCATACGCATACGCGTGTCTCCTCACCTATCGTCGAGATGTAAGTATCGTAGTACCGTTCGTCGCAATAGCGATGCACGATACAGGTCTTGCCGACGTTCGAGTCGCCCAGCACCAAAACCTTGTACGTCGCTGCGAAATCCAACGCCATGTTTGCCGTGGGTCTCGGGCGGTTTTGAACTGTTGTTGGGTCGACAACAGAGTCGTCGGCCGGGGTTGTTCTTAGCGAACGCCCGGAGGGATGGGGGTGGAAGATCGATTCGAGGCTTGCGCTTTAACTCCCCGTACAGTAGGGGTTGAAGGTGTCCTCACAATCGTCTGTGACTTTTCGTCGCTCATGCGCGGCTTTTAGATGTTGAAAGAGCGCATAGTGTGGAAATGCGGATGCGTGAGCATGTATGCGTGTCGAAGATGAAGCCGCGAAGATCGACGGAGCGACGACGGTGTCTATTGGGAGCAACATGCCACACTATAGACGTATATGTATAATACATGCAACATACAGGAGAACGCAAGAAGGCTGTCTCTTCTATTTTTACGTTTCTCTCTCTCTCCCTCGTCCGAGTCTCTTCCTCATGTATAATAAAACCTTGCGCGTCTTGCAGAATAATTCGATCCGGCGCGGCGACGCAAGGGTTCGACGATCTGCGTAAAGAATCTGTGTGTATACGGGGATGTATAATAGGGATGTTGGAAATGATTAAGCAATTATCGGAAATTAGGCCGCTTTATTTTATTCGCGTTATTAATCGGACCGAGATATCTCTTCTGACTAAAATCGTCAGACTACTTATAGTTATATCGACAATTGCATATTTATCCTTCGCTCCGTTCGTTTCCTATATAATAAAATATTATGGGAAAATTCGAAAATTTATGAACATTCGATCGCTCAATACGATCAATTTACTCTACGTATCGCAATACACTATTTTGTCCTTACGACAAAATTCCTATCTCCCTTTTTCTCAAATATGCTACAATTATATCTACAATATATTACTATAAGAATTAGATAAAATGACGCTTGTAACTGCTCAAATACTTTTCGGGAATGGCTTTGTCGCAAAGTATGTATCCTACAATAAATATATATGTATATATATGTATAACAATAATAAAATTAGTTTTGATACTTTGGTGATGTAAGTTGCACTCGTTAATCAGGCCACATTATCTACCAGGATATGTGTCTCTGCTGCACAGATAATATTGAACGTTAATCGTCAAAGGCTTCATTAATCAAAGTAAACGAGCTTCTAATTACCAGATTAGAAGTAAGATGTCAACGCGTTAACATTGTAGCAGAATTCGCAAATCAATATTATTATTACAGCGTGTGTGAATTCTTTTTCTTTGTATTTTAAATAAGTATTATGAAAGAACCAGCTGTGTTTGCCGTTAAAATACACGCGAGAACTGTTTTCGTTCGAAATTGCTTATCGCCTTAGTTAACAATAATCCGGTAAATAACGTATTATGTGTAGGCACTTTAAGCATTATAACTTGTATAAGAAGTTAGGACACTATTTTTGGTTAGCATTGCCTGTAAGTTGTACAATCTTGCTTACGATAACGTCACGATAACGTCTTGCTTATGTAGGCTATCTACATGATATGTTCTTAATTAATATAATACTTAAATTTACTTAGAGTAATACTTCAGAGACGCTACCGTTCGCAGTTTATAACATATCCTAAATTAAAGCAGTTTTAATATTAACAAAGTCTTCAGCTAATGCAACTTTTTCTGTTGATAAATCTCGTATAAGGACTTGTTTGAAGTTGAAATCTCATCATTATATAAATACTAAACTTTCATAAATAATAAAATAAAGTTTAGTTTTACGTGAACAATGAAATACGTATAATAAATGTTATGGTAACTTGACACGCAAGAAGAGGCACGTAACTCAAGTTCAGTCGAACTATTTTCGGAACACATTCGTTAATGATAATACTATCACAAAATATGTCTCCAGGACATCTTTAACATAAAAATTCATCTCGTATTCCCGCAATTGATCTGTCACAGTGTCTAAGAGACGTTTGGCGTTCATGTTAGACCGAGTTTTTCGCATCACGGGAATTTCCGCTTTCAGAAAGAACATTAACTTAACGAAGGCCATTCTCGTAGGAAGAATGAGATCGAATCGCCGCCCATCTCGCACAATATGCTGTCCTCGACGATGTCGTATTACAATAGAAACGACCAAATGCACAATCCGAACATCACGATGCTTGACATGTACGCTAACGAGTTAGGAAGATGGATATTGTAAATACTTTCCCGTTTAATCAGCCATAACGGAACGACGACGTGAAGAATATCCGGTATCATGAAGCCCAGATCGCGTATGACCTTCATACAAGTTAAAGATAAGTTACGAAATGTTTCCTTTTCATTATTATTCGTGAATTCTTACCTGGTGCGCGTGGCCCTCTCCTCTAACGACATTCTCGAAAAATTGATCCCACCCGCCAGCTACGATATGCAGAAGGGCTATCGCGGCAATGCCGAACGCCTTTCTGTGAGTTATGGGATTCTTCTTATCCGCAAGATAAACGACCCAACAGCTGGATATCAACTCAGTGACGGTAAAGAACAGCTGATGATACCACTGGGAATAAAAGTCGTCGTTCCAGTAATTAATATAAACCCACCACGAGTAATAATTTGAGAACAGAGCGGACGAGAAAAGGAGCATCATGGACTGTCTAAGTCTCTGTTTGATCGCCAGTTTCGCCAAGTGCTTCATTGTCTCATAAAGCGCGATCACTCCGATGACGATGAGTATCCATATTTTCAACATGTTCGAAGTGGCATTGAAGTACATGTGTTTGTATGGAGCGATACCGGATTCGTATGAGCCTGTAAAAAAATTCAGTTTATAGGGTTAGATCTACGATCGTCGATTAGCAGCAATTAAAGATATTTGTAGAATTGTCGCAAATTTTGTAACCTTTAAAGACAGTGTCCCAGCACGAGCAGGAGCAGTATCGTTTATCTACGACCCTTGAATAATCCTGCCAGAAATAATATAACGTTGCAATTTGCAATGGTGGAATTGTTAAGGGTCCTATGATGCCCACGAATCTCGATCCGCTTGTTACAATGTTTTTGCACAGAGCACGTTTCAACATCTTTAATGGAGCCATTTGTCTTAATTGACGTATTACGAATGAACGGATGGTGATTCAGAATTTTTCTGTATATTTCATGACTTAAAATTCTCTCCCTTATCACATATACTGCTATCATCTTATCTTATCATATACTTTTATCATATTATCGATAAAAGTGATACCTAGCTCTGTGCATTGGCACTTGTGGTCGTTAAGTACTTAAAAATAACACAAAAACACTTTAACTGAAATGTCTAACTATGTTTTACAATTTTATTAAATAAATCTGACTTTCACTTTGGAAATGCTATTATTATCTTCACTTTATATAAACGACAATGCTCTTTGCATTGTCTGTGCATCTCTTATATAAAATCATAATCCTCTGTATTAATATCTCTAGACATTTTTCTAAATTAATATACAGTGAAACATGTGAACGAACTCTACAACATAGGATATATCTCTACATATAACGAGTCCTTAAAAATGAAACGGCAGGTAATAAAACAAAAACTCAAACGAAAAACTGTTCAACACATGTTTATTGCAACAACACGTGTTTATTTCACACAATGCGCATTGTTGTTCGTACGCCACACGGTGCAATCTGGTGTGGAGATTCCTCAGTTCGTCAAGATTTTTCAGCTGTTACGTCATGGCGATTAAAGCGTTCATTTGGACTACAGGCTGCACACAAGCAACCATCGTCGGTGCTCTCCGCGGAGGTACCTTCGACTTCACATGTCAACGAAGTCGACAATTTCACGTGTAGGGCCGTTTAAGGAATGAACGGCCAGAAACGGAGCAAACAGCCCCCTGTTTATGTCCGTTAGGAAACGCCATCTTGCTCCAAGTTGCTCGGCAGAAACTTTTACTTCGGATGACAGAGGAAGTAGTCCGACTGCAGATACGAATTAATTCTAATCGTTAGAGCGTGGATAAAAAATATTAAAATTGCATGAGAGCTTCTTCTCTGATTAAATTAATCTATTTATAATTGCAAATATTATTGTTAAATAAAAGCAAAACTTTGTTGAGCTGAAGTATCGACGACCATTAATTCAGTGCCCTGCATAGCTAGGATACGATGATTTCTGATAAGCCATTTTGATATACATTCTGATTTTATCGCTTTCAATTCGAGGCAATTATTTTCTTTATACCAAATACGAATTATCTACAAATTATAAAAAATTATAAAATAAAAAATGCTGATGTTATCTGAACATTGTTACAGTTTATTATACATAGCTCTCTTCCATTATTTTTAACCTATAAGCCTAAGCTTTAGTAATTTCAAAAAAAAATTTCATTAAAAACATTTCTCTTTAAAAAACATGTTCGCAATAATAATTTACTAAAAAATTTATAAATAAAGGCAGTAGGAGATAGTATCATCTCGCATTTATTATATTATTTAGAAAATACGAGACTTTTTCCTATAGACACTGATTTTAACAACTGTTTTGCTTTCAAGCATTTACACAAGAAAATGGCAAGAAAATATAAAACCAAAAGTTTTCAATCGTGTCGTTGTCGCTATAAGTGGCGATGTCAATGTCTGGTGCCACGAAAAGAAAAACCACATCCTCCCTTCAACAGCGGAACAAAGCCAGGTAGTAAAATAGGTTTGCATCCCAAACTGAAGGCGCTTGTATTAATGTCACCAGCTGTGGGCTCCTACGACCCTCGACCGATCGATCGTAAATCCGTAATTAGGTAAAACACAACCTTGATCTATCTCGAAATCATATGAGAGTTTTCAGTAAGTAAGACAAATTGCATAATTGCAGTTGGAGAAGGCAACAAGAAATGGAAGAATTCTCCGCTACAATAGGTGGCAAAGTGACAAAGGAAATTGCGAACCAGAAGAGTTTGATGAAGACTGGACGTGAAAGTCATGAGATATCTCGTTGGCCGGAAAGTGTTATGGATGCGCCCTGTGAGAGTTCGCGAACGGATGCTGCTTTTGGAATCGTTCCGCGATTCCAAACAAGTTATAAATCCACCACGCCCGGTCCAGGTTGCTAAGATTATCTTTCGAGAGAACAAATCAAATTATCTCAAGACAAAACAACAAGAATTTCTTCAAAATATAGTTCTATTTTTTGTCAGATTATATTAAAACAAAATTCTCTGAATTATGTTTTAATTAACAATCGTTTTATATTGCCTCTTTCTTATACCCTGCTGACGTCTTGTATCTTCTTAAGGATACACGCTGAGAACGCACAATCCCTTTTTCTATTTGGATCAGAAAAGGTTAAAAGGTTTCTCCAATATACCTTCATTCGAGTTCGACAATTTAGTACCTAGATTCCAAGAAACTGTAAAAGCTTGGTCTTTACCGTGCACTAGGTAAAAGTGATGTCACTTATAACACAATTCTCTTGAACTATTTTTTTTCTCTACGATTTAAAATAGTAAAAAAATCGATTTTTATAACAGATACAGCGTGAAACATCCAAATTCGCTACAAGCCTTTCTCGAGAAGATCACGAGTAAAAGGGGACCTTACGATCTTTTCACAGGTGTCAAAAAAGGCATTTTTTTAATATGCGCGCATTATTTCATAAGCGTACTTATTTCTTAAATGCAGTTTAAAAAGTTTAGGTATACTCGATATAATGTGTTATCTCGTATCGGTATCTCATAAAAATTCAGAATTTCTTAAAACTTTATTTACAAGAAATACATAAAAATTTAATTACAAAGTCCGTACGTTTTACTTTCAATTTGAGGACCGAGAGATGAGACTACTATCAAAGGATATTGGGCACGTGCAAAGTCAGAAGATCAGAATGATTGGCCACGAAAATTGCCAAGTGAAATGGACAAGCTCTCAAGCAAGTCAAACTATTTCAAAGGAAGATGGTCCACCAATCCTAGGTATTAGAAAAAATCACAGTAAAAAATGAAATATAATAAATAACGATATCTAATTATAATTTCTATGTATCGTACAACGGTACAAAAATTATTTTGAATGGGAAAATATCTTAAAGATTTATAAAGAAACCCGTTACGAGGATAATGTTACAAGACATCAGTACGTGTTACAAGGATCCTGATGAACCAGGGCCTGGTCATTATAATCCTCGAACGCCCCGAAAACTACGTTCATTGAAGAAATATCCCTTTGATAGCAATATAGAATATGCACGACCCGTTCCACCAAGTGATATTCGTCCTGGACCAGGAAGATACAAGATTAAACAGGAATATCGCGTAAAAGGATACGGATGGACATCCGTTTTCAAGAGCAAAGTGCCTAGAATGACTGGCATTTCTCCATCGTTATATAATGATTATTAATTTCCGATTAATTAATGAGAACATTATAGTATAACAAAAAATGTAAGTTATGTTATTAGAGAATTCTTAATAAACTTTTTAAAAGAATTGGAGTTCGATTACTGTGTAACTGTGATTACATTAAAAGCAAAATTTATTATATATTGCATATATATTATATTACAATGTAAAATTTGACATATATGTAGAATTAATTTCATGGCAATTATCGATCGGTGTAAGTTTCATTACGTCAAAAATTACCGCGACACAAAATCTACATGGATCGCGTGATAGCTTCTATCCGCGCGATGAGATCGACGATTGCTCTACTGCTAATTTAAAAGTCCAATGATCGTCGTGACTTATCGCGTGGATTAGCTCGAACGACATCCCGTTTCGTCGTTTTTTTTTCCATCGACGGTGTTCCTTGATGCAAGAGGCGCGAGATTTCGTGCTAGGTGGGAAATGGTAACAGGAGCCCCGACGAAATAACGACGCACACTCAGCGATTATCCCGGCTGTACCGAATGCATAATTTGTACGTACGCCATGAACTTTGAACTGGTTCCACAAGCGCATCCCATATCGGCCGCCTTAAAACGGACGCGATTACGTTTAATTGTTTTTGAAAGATAACCTCTTTCATTTAGATCCTTGCCACACACGTCATTCGTTTGTTGTGGAACGCCCCGGACCCTCTCCTTTTTTTTGTTTGGGCTTAATCATCGCAATAAAACAAGAGGAAATTTATTGGGTCGTATATGATCGTGACGAGCTTGCAACGGCGAGAAATCGCTGCGTCCACGGTGGCGACTGTCACCCTTACGCAATCTGGATCGTTACAACGCGAGGATCAATGAAGCGCGAATGAAAGAAAAACGTATTGCGAGGAAAAATATAGCGCTAGTTAGGAAACAGCAAGCGCACCAAAGAAGAATTTTTCCTGTAAATTATAATCGCATCAAGATATGCAAGATATACTCGCCTCAGAACCGGAAGCACGTACGCGCGCGCACGAGCTTGAGAGAAGAAATGAGAAAAATTTCTCGCGGCGTGCCATATGGCGGATAATTTTGTAGATTGATGGAGGATTTCACGGAGCAACTGACACCCAGTATATGGGTTCCCATAGGCGGATGCCGCTATGTAACACGGCTGTCGTGTAGGATGCTCGCATTAGTTGCAAGGGCGAATTAATCGGGACGCAATTGGGCGTTAATAACTTTCTAATTTACGGCCGACGCCGACGCCAACGCGTCTCTCGTAAGATCGATCTGTGCCGTTGAGTTCGTTCACCCGCGAGATTGCGAGTGACAAACCGTGTTGAAAGACGCGAAGAAAAAATCTTGAAATTAAAAATAAAATAAAAATCTTTAAAATAGAGACGATGATTCGTCTCTCTGTTTCTGTCCTTTCTTATCTCCCTCATTGCTCCGAATCTTTTTAGCGCAAGCTTCGAATGATAAGTCAAAATTTGTCAAATTTAGACTAAATAATTCGCTGAAAGATAAAATGTCATATTTCTATTCTTCGATTTCACGCTTCTAACATTCTGGAAACATCTCAATTCTAACGCGCGAATGGTCCACAAGTATCCTCGTAGGACGTTTCAAAGGAAACATGTCATTTTGCTTCAATGGCTAAGCAACGCCTCTCCTTTCTTTTTCTCTCTCTCTCTCTCTCTCTCTCTCTCTCTCTCTCTCTCTCTGCATGCAAGTCGCGTGGCACAAGCTTGACCCATTTTTTTTCCTTATCGTTTTCACTCGTCTGAGCCAGATTATCCATAAATCACCAGAACAAAGGATGAATACGTTCGAACAGTGGCACTTTTCCTTCTGTCACTTAGCTACCATGCTGGGAAAAACGTAAATCTTAGTCCATTCTATAGCTCGATCCTATGTCTTAGTTGCCCTTTCTCCTTCTTTCTCTGTCTGTTTCTTTAAGAACTTACTTTTCTTGGGAAAAGGCACGTGCCTTTTTAATATATGTTCAGTCTATCTATATAATAGACCAAGAGACAGTAATTTACTGGCTAAAGTTCTGAAAAAAATATATCCACCACGAAAGTGCACGTTTTTTTTGACAGTTTTTTACAATAGTCCATTGAAAGTCTAGACTAGAATATTTTTATCGTTATATTATATAATGGCCTCATTAAAATAGCGTGTTACTACTGGTGTTCATAGAAGTTAAAGATGCACTCCTCGGAGACATGGGCCTAACGCCACCCTAGTGGGAGTCCGAATTTCTGAAGGTCAACTACGATCTTTTAGAGGGTGAAATAAAGCAGGAGAAACAAAAGAAAAATACTGAAAATTTATTACTAAAACTACAATAAAACAGAGAAATGTGTTTTTTGAAAACATTTAAATGGAAATGGTTAAAGAAGAAAAAATTGAATGGAATTGTTGTAACAAAGCTCGATAGAAGAAAATTACAAGAGACATAGCTAAAGGAAAAGACGACGCAAGGGAGAAGACGTGACACGAAAAGACTCCGGATCTACCAAAAAAATACGTTACCGAAACAAAACGCAAATTCGATCGAACGGAAGCGGCGGTCACGCACTACGCACAGTAGATTATCGATGCACACGTGCCTTTTGTGAAAAAATTCCGGCCCGTCGGATCCCTCCCCGCCCGCATCCAGGAAAGCGGCCATCGAGGGAGGTGTGATACGTTACAGCTGGTTAAACAGCTGCGGGGTGGAAGGATAGCCGTGAACGCCGCGACAAATTTCGGCAGCAGCCACCAGAAGGCCGCATATGAAACTGGAGGAGGCCGCTCTCTTTTTTTCTTTCTCTCTCACGCATAGTTTTGAATTTATTTCTGGATCTTCACCGTCCGATAAGATCGTCGACAGCTTATCAACGAAAAATAGCTTCACAAAGCAGACAAACCAGAAATTTTTCACTTTTTACAGTAATTAATAATGTGATTATAATTATATTATATAAAATTTATATAAATTTTATATAAATTTATTAGATTACCAAAGAGATATAAATAGCTTTAAATAAACAAGATATGTCGCGTTAAATTCAGAGACAACGCGCATTATAAATTCGAGACGTAAGGGAGACCAGGGATAAAAGTAACACGGGACGAATGTAACAAACGCGATTTTAAATATTTTTCATTCCTATATGAATTTGTCTGCTGCTATATAACGTTTAAAAACATCTTAAGCGGACGAATTTAGTTATTTTTGTCCCTGGTCTCCCCTACGTAGCTTCAATTAACAGGTATAATAGTAATAATAATGAAAGTCTGTAATTTCGACGATGAAAATGGTTATAAGAAGCGCTCTCTTTGTTTGTACGCTTTAACACTTCTCAACGACTCTTCGCGGGCAATAAAATATTAGTATTAAATTAAATTCGCGGACATACGTACGACGGTTCGACACGTACGACAGTTTATTGGTCAATCTTACATTGACAATTATTATTATTACGATAACGTTTGTTTAAGTTTCGGGCTAACGACGATTTGACGGCCGTTCTGTATTTAACACTTCGACTCCGACAATCACGATAACGTTGTTAAGTGCATCTTAAAACGAACGCTTTGTTTTAACGCAAATTATTTCTGTTCGATATTTAATATGCATGTATAGTATATAGACGATACTCCTTTGCAAAAAAAATATAATTATTATGCGTACTATATAATCAAATAATAATTTAGGGTCTCGTTTATGAGGAAAGGGAAGTAATTTACTTTTCATATCTTAGAACATATGTTCTCTTAGGATGTACAATATAATAATATAACAACAACGGCGAGATGATTAATTACGACAGTATTTTAAACTGTTATTTTCGCACTCACAATCCGTGTAGATAATTTCGCGGATAAATTGCCACATACTACAGTCACAAAGGTGGAACATTATTGTGGTAACGGTACGACGAAAGGTGATATCCATCCACTCATCTATCTCGAGAGAACCGTCAGAAAAAAAAATAGAATCTGTCGAGTCACAGGGTTTCGAAAACGATAGGGCGAAGTTTAAAGGATGCCGCAACACCAGTAGCCACGTTATTACGGTTACCTATACACGCGCACGTGCATTGTGAATCCCCGAAGGATCGCGTGACAGATCTATCTTACGGCATCTACACAGTTAACTTGTTGCCATTGTGCCACCTGCGATTTGCGACGCTAAAGAGTTGGTTATAATGTACACCACAGAAACGTCGTGACGTTACCAGATTCCTATAAATCATAGTACTTTGAAAAGAAGCGGGTCTTTTATTAAATATAATGATTATTCATTTTTATATTATTAGATAACTTATTTAGAAAATTATTCTAAAAGAATGCATCTTTCGGTTCTCTTGTCATTGAATATGATAAAAGTTATTTATGTCAATTTATGGTAATTTTCTATTGATATAAGTTTATACATTTAACTTATCTAAATTATTTTTCAAGTCATCTCAATAATATATCATATTTCGGAATTTGTTAAAGTTCAAAATTTATATCTCGAAATAAAATTGACTATTCAGCCCGAGTTCCATCTGAAGTCCGCGCCAACGCTAGAAATCGACAATTGATGTGCCAAACTTGATTTACCGATTCTATATAAACGCGGCATTTAAACGGCGTTGCCGTACAAACAACCGGGTGACATACGGAAAATTTCTAGATTTACGACTTTTGCACGCAGAATCGCCGCTGCAAAGCTCGCGCCGCTCCCCGCGAGCTTCTCTCTTCGTTGCGTAATTTCTCCTCCTTCTTCCACTTACCATCGACCATCTCCTTACTTCACGCGCGGCACTTTGTGAAAGCGAAAAAAATAAGACGAAGGAACAAGGAAGTCGTATTTCCTACCAGGTGGAAGGTCCCTTTGAGAATACCGCGATCGCGCGCCGTATTTCACTTCGAATTTAGTAAACATCGTTCCACCTTTGATCACGTTTATGCAGAAGAGTGACCGGCCGTAAAATAACAAGCAGCGGATCACACGTGGAATTACCGCATATTTCGTGCACTGACGCAGTAGCTTTA